ATCTGAAACCAGGACATCTGGACACCTGAATTGTCCTGGCAGTAGTAGTGGAGGAAACGGGAACAACCTCTAGCCACTTGAAATGGCTGTCAATGAGGAGAAGGAAGAATTGCCCCTGAAAGGGCCCAGGGTAATCTATATGTACCCATCATCATGGTGTTTGTGTTTCCTCTCACCTGAGGCATTTCAGGCCTTGACTGCTGGCACATTTGGCACCCGTGCACCTGGGCCTCGATGGCTTTATCGAGCCCAGGCCACCAGAGATGGCTGCGCGCAAGCGCTTTCATCCTTACTATGCCTGGATGTCCCTCATGCAGAGAGAGCAAGATTCTAGACCTCAATGAGGCTGGGATGACTACCCTACTACCTCATAACAGGCACCCCTTGAAAGTGGAAAATTCGTGCTTCCTTTGCCAGAAACTTTGAAACTCTGTATCTGGACAGGTGTCAGGCCATCCTGACAACACCCGTGTCAGCATGCGTGTGAGCGTGTGATCAGTGGCAGTTTCAGCAGCCACGTCCCTAGCATAGAGGGGAGATTCAGGCAACTCCTGAATGGAAAGAATATTAATAGCAGGAGCAGAATCTGCCTCTATCTGTTTTAGAGGTAATCTGCTGAGGCCATCTGCATAGCCCATCTCTTTTCCAGGTTTGTGAATTAGAGTGTAGTCATATGCTGACAGGAAAATGGATTATCTCAGCATACATGGATAAATAATATGTGGTGTCTGTTTGTTAGTAGTAAACAAACCCAGCAGAGGCTTCTGATCTGTGTAAACCGTGAAGTGGTGGCCATATAAGAAATCATGGAATTTCTTTATGCCAGCCACTATGGCCAAGGCTTCTCTGTCAATCTGAGCGTAATCCCGCTCTGCAGATGACAGAATCCTTGAGTAGTAAGCCACAGGGACTTGTGTCCCATCAGTCTTCAGATGGCTAAGTACTGCTCCCACCCCATAAGGAGATGCATCGCATGCAATGCATACAGGCAGTTGCTCATTGAAATGCGCTAATACAGCAATTGAAGAGAGCAAGGCCTTAACCTCATTGAAACTCCTTTCAGTACTTTAGTCCACTGCCATGGAGCTTGTTCATCTAAGAGCTGGTGTAACGGCTCTGCCACTGCAGCCTTGTGTGGAAGAAATGCATGATAGAAATTTAAGAGCCCCAAGAAAGCTTGCAGCTCGCTTTTGGACTTGGGGCTTGGGGCCTGCTGAATCACTTGAAGCTTCGATTCAGCAGGATGGATGCCTTGAGCATCAATTCTGAAACCTAAGAATTCAGTGGAAGTGACTCCAATTTTACACTTTTCTTGCTTCAGTTTCAGATCCGCTTGGCGGAAATGAAGCAAGACAGGCCTTAATCTCTCAGCTAGGTTTCAAGATGACTCCCCAGCAATGAGGACATCATTAAAATAGGACAGACCCCAGGAATACCACGAAGTGTGCGCTCCGTGACACTTTGGAATATGTCAGGGGCTACATTAACCCCAAACTGCAATCTTTTAACCTTAAAGGCTCCTCTCTGTGTTACTATTGTTTGAGCCTCAGCTGTTGTCTCATCAACAGGTAGCTGTTGGTAGGCCTGTGCCAAATCGAGTTTTGCAAAAATGCGCCCCCCCTTTGAGGGAGGCCAGAATGTGACTTACCACAGGGACTGGGTATGTGTGCTGTTGGAGTGCTTTGTTCAATGTACATTTATAGTCTGCACAAATTTGGACTTCTCCATTAGCCTTTAAAGGCGTTACAATGGGGGTTTCCCATGGACTAGAGTCCACAGGTTCTAAGATGCCCTGCTGGAGCAGCGTGTCCAGCTCTGCATCAATTTTGCTCTTGAGAGCAAAAGGCACCCTTCTAGGCTTAATCCTAATAGGTGGGATAATTGGGTCTAAACGTAGGGCAATGGGAGGCCCCTTGTAAGAGCCAAGCTCTGAGCTAAACACATCAGCAAACTCCCTGCAGACTTCTGCAAGGCCTGGCGTTTGCATGCTATGCAGCCTAATCACTTGGATTCCAAGGGCCTCGAACCAATCGATTCCAATGAGACTCGTACGATCACCTACAAGTACCACAACTAGTAGGCCTTCAAAAGCCTTATGCTGCACTTTGAGCATCGCATCCCCCTTCACACTGACTCTGGAATTCTGGAAGTCAGTGAGGATTAAGTTCGATGGCCTGAGTTTGACTCAAAGGCAACTACTGCTGCAAATCCTTTTGAAGGTGTCATGTGAAATGATCGATAGAATGGACCCTGTGTCCAACTCCATTGACAAGGGAACCCCTTGCAACTTTACGTCAATACGAAGCTTTTTCTTAAGGGGCTTGTGTGTACTTGCCCTCAGAATACCCCTGCGCGATGCGCAGAAACCTGGTACCTGTCCGAAGCAATTCTTCCCAAGGTTGGACCTTATGTTGACCCAAACAGATGGAGGCAATGTGGCCTTGCCTTCCACATGCCCGGCAAATGGCGGAGCGGAATCTGCAGTCCGCGTGCTTGTGACGTCATCCACACCCGAAGCACTGAGGAGATGCTGAAGCCTTGTCTGGATGCTCCTTCGGCCTTCTCTCAGCTGGCTGGTGTAGCCTATCTACCTCCTCTTCAGGATCCGTGTCTGGATCTTCTCTAGCAACCTCTTGATGGACGGTCATGGTGGCTAGAGGGTTTCTGGCAAGCCGTAAAGCCTTCATAGTGCCACCCGCTACTTTTTCAGCTGCAACCTCTCTCAATCCATCTTGGAATGAAACTTCTTCCTTGGCAAAGATCTTCTGTTGCAGCTCCCTACTTCATAGGCCACAAACAAAACAATCTCTGCAGCCTCTCTTCCAGGTCCTTGAATTCACAAGGCCTGGCCATTTGTCTTAAGGCAGCAATAAAGTCTGCAGCAGATGCACCTGGCCTCTGGCTCTCTCTGCTCGAATGCGTGCCTCCAAGCAATTACAGAAAATTTAGGCTGGAAATGTTCTTTAAGTATTTTCTTCAAGTCAGTATAAGTTACTGACTCTGAAAGCACAGGGGCTACCAGGTTCTCTGCTATGTCGAATGTTTCCTGTCCACAAACACACAGCAGGGTTGCCGCTTTAAGGCCGTCTTCCCTTATCTGATTGACCCTAAAATAGTTTTCAACCCGCGCCACGTATGAATTCTAGCGCTCCGGGTGGGAGACATCAAAGTCAGATAAGCGGCCAATCTTCGACATCTTAAGTCTTCACAGGCCTCATTAATGCCTTTTGCTGCAAGGCTCGTCTTACTGGGGGGGGGGGAAGGGGTCTGTTTGCCAAGCTCACCTCCAGCGATGCTGTACTGGCAGAGTCGCAGAGCTGGATGCCGACTTCCCAAGCTTCAGGACCTTCTGTGAGTCCTCGATTCAGTTGTAAATCTTCTGCTTGCCTGCAGCGATCCCACCTTCATTGCCAGTTTTATGTTTTCAGGTCTCAGGCATTAAACAAAGACACATGGTGAACATCAAGCTTTCTTTATTGATTTCTCCTTACAACCAGCAATAACCTAAAAGGCACGCAGGCCTTTTATACTGTCTTAAACCCGGACAGCATCAGCCAATAGAAATCTGGCTGTTTTCACGCCTTGCACATGCGCACAAGGCTGGCGATAGCCAGTCTGGTCCTGGGCAGCTTTTGGTCTGCCCGGGACCATTTGCAACATTTCTGAGCCTGCTGAATGCTTCAGCAGGCTCAGGACACAACAGTAGCCTCCTCTACATTCAAACAGTTCACAATTTCTTTGGCACTTCCATACTTATCTTTTCAACGACTAGCTTCAAACAGCATTAGGCCTCTGCACAAGTGCCTTTTGCTTGTTTGAGCCAGTCAGTGCTCTCTTTAGCCAATTTTAGGGAATGCCAAAACCAAGACACAGTTGGCATCCCACTCCCTCACCAAAACAAGGTATCAGAATTTGACAAACAGAAAGCTTTGGTTCTGGAAGAAAGGAAGAATCTGAAAATCAGGAAGCAGGATGAGACGGAACTCCTACCAATCATAGGCTCTCAGCCTGCAGCTACTGGGAAATTGTTGTTGCTTCTGGACAGAAAACATAGCCAGAATTAATCATTCCATTTTTCAATGAATGTTTGAAGTCCCCCTTTGTTGTGATATTATATAGGGATTATGGTTTGGCATCACAGAACCTCTCTCTGAGGGAAATGGGTGGTTAAGAAATATAAACAAACAAATAAACAAATAAATATTCTGGAATGTGAAATGGCCTTTAGTGTGTCTTATTGAGATTTGCTTTGAGATCCTATGGAGTCATTAACAAGCCATCTGCAGGAACTGGTTCAGGCCTTGGATTCTCCTAATACTTTAGATTTTTTAAAAAATAAAGTTATTCCCTACTTCTACCCTAAAAGTATATTTTGAAAACATTCTGCCTAGATAATACTTAGAACTACTTTGGCCTATAGAAGTTCTACCCTTTCTTTTTCTACATATTTCCTTTTCTGGATGTGCATCACAAGATATGGCCCAGAAGAAGGGTAAGTGTGGTGTGATAAGGAGGTTACAGACCAGATTTGTTGCCTGTTGGCTAACAGGACAAAGATGAGAAATCTACTAGGGATACACATAAGGAACCATCTTTGGGAGAAAGAAAGTAATTGGAAGAGAATACAACTTAGAGTGATTCAGCTTTTCCCATCCTTTGATGCCATTATGAATGAATTCTTCCAAAGTGTGATAGCTCAGTTTAGATTTTGTATAAGTGCTACATGGCTATGTGAGATCTGAGGAGTGGTTTAGAATTTGTTTGTGAGAATTTATAATAATATGCCACAGTTTGTAGTGCTCATTTAGTATTTTCAACAGTATTCCTGATATGTCCTATATTTTGACTCTACTTACTCTTTATAATAACAACAGACTTATTATCAAGTTATCAACTGCTAACACTACAGATAGGCAAGTATCATTGAAATTCAAAGTTCGTTAGAAACAATAATAGGTCAGCAGAAGACGACTATTTGTCCATAATAGTTTGTTACTTACGGTCCTCAAATCATCTTGGAAGATTTCTCTTGCTTCCTCCCATGAACATTTCTCTTCATGGCATTCCCGCTCAAGTGATCCTGCCTTAAGCTCCTCTAAAAAATAATTGGCTCTCCTAGATCTTTGTAAGAGGTTGCTGGCTTCCTTGTGCCTTAAGAAAACTTTAAAATAGAAATAATGAGCAAGCTGCATTCATCAGACTGAAGTGTACCACCATCCCACCAGAAATCACATATCCTATCTTAACATTCATTTCAGTCGGCAAAGTGGTTCTCATCTGAAAAGGTTTTCAACATTTAATGTGAGATATTCACATCATTTTGGTGCTAGCTCAGCTCAGTGTCCTCTAATGCTGCTTGTCTGCATCATTTCCCTTGCCTGTTCACCTGAAGGCAGTTGAAATCTCCATGACCCCGTCTTCTGTCTACTTTTTAACAGTAAAGTTATACTATACAACACATACATCACCAATCAGATGAAATGGCAGTGATGATGATAGTCATTGTGATTAGGTCTAGCAGTAATTCTTAAACTAAAAAAAATCCTTTCTTGTCTGGGATGGTCAACTTTTCCTTAATCCTATGAAGTGGACTGTACAGAATAAAGTTAGGTTGGCTTTTAGGCAATCCCAGTGTATAGAAAACAATTCTTTTAAACCAGAAAGCCTCCCTCTCTTTTCATATAACTGAGCTAATTCTCTATCTTGCATCATATTTCAAAACAATTAGCTCAGAAACATCCAGGAGTGTCCAAGAAATATAAATCTAAATCTCTCTTGGATTTACTGAAGCAATTATTTATTTTGTAGAACTATAGGATATTAAAAGGAATCCATGTATCCTCTTTATAACCATTTAAAAAGTCTTTTCAATATTTCTCCCATAATTTTATGATTTAAATTTTCTGCTTCAAGGACTTAAGAATCTAGGAACCACTCTTCTGAGTAGGCCAAAGTTCTTCATAGAGCAGCATTTTCTTTCTCACTGCAGCCAACCAGAAGCCTCTTGGGTGCTCACAAACAGGAGACAGATAATATAGCCCTTCCCCACTGATGTTCCTCTGCCACGCTGGCTCCAATCAAGAGGTAACATTGACATTTCAAATCTAGTAGCCCTTGATAGTCCTGTCCTCCATTATTTCCTTGATTGAAAGACCATTAGGCAGTAGGGCTGTATTTTTAAATTCTGCCAAGGAAAGCATACAGGAATTTTAAAAAGAACCAGTTAATACAATGAAGACATTATTAATATTTATTGTATTTTACATTTACTAACTGGAAACTAAGTTGTATTTAGATGATATGAAAAATGGACCATGCTTTACTTGTTTCATTTTTGTTTGTATCATTCTTTAAATTTTCCTGATAAAGATGACTTTGAATATATTGTACACAATTTAAATGATGAAGAATGGAAAATGACTTGGTTTTAATTTGTGACTTTAAAATTAAAGAATGAATCTACAGCTAGGCTTTTGTCATTATTTTGATGCAAAGAATAAAACCACCATCATGTTTACTATAAATTCCCTTCTTGAAAATAGATACTACAAAGAGATTTTTGTTCATCCTAGAAGTCTTTTATAATAATGCTTCATAAACTGATTACAGAAAAATTAAGATATAAAATGCTAAATATTTAAATACATTGTATAACATTTTTGTTTAGATGTGTTTCTTCATACTGATATCTATCTGCAATATACAACAATCAGAAAATTTATTTCAAGAATGGTTCAACTTGCTACTTTTTAAAAACTTATTCTTGGAATGTGATTGCTGAGTTGAGGGATTAAAATCTGATTTACTAAATATCTTAAGTATAGATTTTCTAAGATGTTGAACACTATTGCATAATAATTGGATTATAGAAAACAAGGCAAGCATTTAATAATTAATTCATGACTGTAACAAACATTTTCAGATGTTATCATACCTGAAGCCCTTGCAATGGGAGATGCAAGCAAAAGAAGGCAAAGCAAAACACCGAAGTGGCAGGAAATCATGATGAAACCAAAATGTTGTGTCCAAATAGTGTACTGATATTTCAGCAAGGACTCTGAGAGCAAAGTTCTCTGTTTCAACGCTTCAGTTGGAGGAGGGGTGAAGAAGAAAAAGCTCCAAAACCCTAACACTGGCTCTGGCACACCAGATAGGCCAAAAGAAGGGGACGGAAAAATCAGGTTTCAAATTCCGGTAGACTCAAAATAGGCAGGTTTGATTGATTAGTGCAACATCTTCTCACTATTAGTTTGATATTTATCCTGCCATTTGACCCGTAGTACTTGGAAGACATTGCCAGGAACAGTAAAACAAAACATAAGATGCTTAGAAATATCTAATTGCATTTTAAATAAACAAGTATATAAAATCAAATGGAAGAAAGCTTGAAATCACCAGAGTAAACAGGAGAATTATTTGAAATAGAAACAACAGAACACTATAAGACTTAGTATTTGATGATAAAAGGGAAAAACCTGGAGGGATAATAGGGCAAGGTGTTCAAAGGAGGTGGTTAAAGAAGTCACAAGTGATACATATAAAAAAACTAACAACACCAGGCAGTGCTTTGATTACACCATGGTGGCTGCCATTTTTACTTTTTTTGGCTTGTTTGTTTATTTTTATTTTTATTTATTTATTTATTTAATTTGCAGACACCCCCGAAGTGGAGTTCTGAACCTCAAAGAATCTCAGCTCCCTATTTGGTGACACTAACACTGTTCTGATTTATTTCATGTACAAACAGTTCAATTCTATTTCCCTGGCATATTTTTTTTAGTTTATAATACTCAACACACCCTGAATATCAAATCCAGTTTGTTTTATTTTATGTAAAATAAATATTAATTACTTTATTAATTGGTAGAAGTCTGGCCAATAAGCACAATAAAGAACACTTATTTTATCACCCAAGACTAAAATATTACTTGAAATATTACAGATGTAGATAAGTCCCCCATGTGAAATTATCAATACTGGTGAGGCCCACCTAATGAGTTCCATGGCTGGACAAGAGGTTAATCACACATATTTTCTGAATTTAAAGATGCTTTGTTTTTTGTTAAGATTGGAAAGACTGCTCATTTTGGAATGGAGGAAAATATTTGTCAAGTATAGAAAACAGACCAATAGTTTCCTGAAAAAATTGTGTCCATGATACAAGATGTGAGGAGAGAATTTCTGCAAAACAGAAAAGAGGAAGCATGACTTGCAGAGTTATAAAAATTTGGAAACATTTCAATGATATCGTTCTGGCCTGTCCCCCCTGCTCTGATGTTGCAGCAATAGCTGCAAAAGCTTATGGAGAACATGTATTTTCTCCATTTTATCTGATAAATTACATATTTTTAAATAATTTGGATGTTCTAAGGGTTTTAATTTTAAGAAACAGCCCTTAAATGCAATCCAGGAACTGAGCTTTACCTATTATCTATTCTCCTAATTAAAATGACTCTTCTAGCTTTTTTATTTCTAGTCCTCACAAAACAAATAAGTAAACTTGAGAGACGGAGATCTTTCATTTAGAAAAAAAAAAGCAAAGACCTGGGATGATTCTCATTCCACTGAGAATTACCAATTAATCTAATTTAATTTAATTCCCGTATTGTTGAACAGTATTTTCTCCCTGAATGTGTTAGAAATATAGCCAGTTTTGCATCTTACAAGTCCCCACAAAGTGACATTTTTTCTTTTGCAAATCATTTCTCAACATATATTCCCACAATTTTTATCCAGATTTTTTTCTGCAACTAATTATCATATGGCAGTGATTTCCACACCAATTCCTTGCTCAGGTATTAGACTAATAAAACTGGGAATGGTCAGGACAGAAAAAATCAGTTAGATAACCATTGCTTCTCTGTTTTAACCAGATTTTAATTTAAATTTCAATTACATAATTGTAGAATTCTGTAAAATCAATGATGTTGGATGAGCTCTTAGAGGCCTACACATCAGTAGATTACAGATCAGTTGTTAGAACTCTGTCAAATGTCTTAAGCTGGCAATACTTATCTTGTTTCTCTTTTCTAAAGTCAAGTTTTACCATGGAAAACTAGAAACAAAAACTAAGCTTTGACGGATTGTAGTGGTAATACGGAAGACCAGTTATTTTAAGAAGTTGAATGACACATTTTGATTTCTTCCTATTAATAAAAGTGTAGAAGTTTAGAGCTCATTTTGAGCTAACCTGTTTTATTTTTTTATTCTTGTTTATTGCATACAGGAAAAGGTTAGGGAATCTTCATGTAGTTGCAAAGCTTTTCTTATTGTGAAAGTCTTAGACTTTCGATTCCCATGCCAGTCATGTGCCACCCAGTCAAGGTCAGGTCTGTAGTCACATGACTATAATCATGGCGCCATGTTTAATAAAAACCTTGAGGCTGTTGTTGTTTATTGGGAGCTTCTGCACGGGGCCTAACATGGGATACTCTGGAATTTGGTCACCCTTGGAGTATCTCTGCTGTTATTAAGGAGCTCTTGACAGCTTGTAAGATATTTGGGTATCATCTTGTTTGATCTGTATGCTTTTTATGTTATGCTTTTAAATGAGTTAATAATAAAGCTTAAAATCCATTTATTTACTGGTGTGCTTATTGTCCCAAAGACCCAATTGCCTGGGCACCTGATCATTGCCCTCACACTTGGTAAAATACAAATTTATATTGTAAAGTAAGTGGTTTTGAGGAAAGGGAAGTAGACAGTCTTGAAATGCTGCTTTATGAACAGAGACTATAAAGGCTTTGTCTTGTTTTGCACCCATTATGAGTGCAATTAGATTTACTGCACCAATTCAATTTTCTGTTTGTGCTAAGAAACAAAACAAAATCAAAATAATACACCCATGAGTGCGTGTGCGCGTGCACACACACACATCTCTATACGTTCAGACCAACCAACAAGTAATGTTTAAATTTATTCAAAGTTTCATACATACAATAAGGATACTGGATTCAGTAGTAGTAATTTACATCAGCGGTAGAAAATTGAAATATTGGCTATTAAAGTGCAATGATACATGTACAAGCACATGAAATGACACTGGGAAGTATAAAATAAACAGGGTTTGATAGGAGAGCCTTCTGCAGAGCTTTATTTCCCTGCGGTAGCTCTTTACAGAAAGAAGTCAACGATAACCAACCATTTTATACATATTAAGTAGTCACTTACTGTTTCCCAAGCCAAAGCAGATTGGCAGAGGGAGAAAGCGATAAGCCTTATGTATGAACTTCAGCATTACATTCTTCCTTCTCAGTCAATGTTGTAAATAAAAAAAGTTTTTTTTTCCTCTTTTTTGTTACACTCATATTTACAAAATAAGTTATAAAGAATATTGCTAGTAGATTAGCAGAACAGAGCCAGTGCTGACTTTGCTTGCGTGGCCCTATTTTCTGAGAAGGTTCAGAGAGAGATAATTTTATGTTGAAAGTGTATTGATTAAAGCCTTGGAAAGACTGCACACTGATACCTTTTAAAAAGTTGAAATGCAAAGACTGGAAAATTATAAATAGATATTTTTACATTAATACATAACACAGAGATATATAAACAGGCTTACAAAAATAATATTTTGGTGTACTAACCAGAGTTAGCTGCAGTAGATGGTAATGTTGGCCTGGAACTTTCCTGACATTTGGAACAATCAAAGTCAGTGGTTATACCGTATATCCAGAGCCAAAACCCAGATAAACTGTTATGTTTCTACTGTTTCTACATAAATATTGAAAGTCAAACATTCATTTCCACATAACGCCAGCATGAGCTGTAAATTAATTCAGATGATGGGTGAATCCAGCATGGTTTAAATGTGGTTTTAAGTAGTCCTTCCTTTGGCAAGATAGATTTATGAACCATTTTCTTAGAAGAAATTGTTTGTACAATATCATTCTATTTCACACAACGAAAGTAAAATACTTAAGAATTTCTTTCCTATTCTTGTTGTGTGATGCCTTCAATTTTGCAACGAACTGAATAAAAAAAAAGTAGCAGCAGGATTTTCGGTCACACAGAGAATTAGAAAATTCTGAAATGATTGGACAAATTTTGGCCTAGCTGCAAGAACAGAGGACAATTTTGTGACTGCAGTATCATCTTAACTAATACAAAAATGGATTTCAATGTTTTTACTTCTTTTTTTACAAAGATTTTTAAGACCAAATAACTACTAAATTATCATAATTTCATAAACAACAGTAATTGGTCACAAAATTTGATTCAGTGTTAAAAATATCTCAAATTATTAATTTTGTTCATCATGGCTAAAGGAAATGCCACAGAAAATGAAGTTAGAAAATAATTACTATATCAAATTAGCAAGTACCCAACTCTGTAATTTCATGCACATTATATTTTGATCCCAGATGTTTTTTATTCATTTATTTATGAGGATCAAGTTTTTTAGTTGTTGTTTTCTACATTCTATATTAATTTAATTATTGTTTTAACTAGTCAGATTTACATAATGGAAAGTACTAGCTGCTAGTAATATTCTTCCCAAGTTATCCATGCCAAGGTCCATTTCATTCTCGAAGCGTGATAGGTTTCTATGATAGCAGCTTCCAAAAATGTTATTCCCATTAATTTGTTACCAACGTATTCAGGTTCTTCAAGAATATCCACTAAACCATCTTTACACACAAGAGGAACAACTGTGAGATGTGCAATTACGATGCTTCTTTACTTCTTTAACATCTGATAGCCACATTGGCAGTTTTAAATCTTCAGAGAGTTGTGGTGGAATTTTCAATTTAACCTTTAGTATCTGAGAAAGTGCTACCACTGACATTGCAACTTTCACTACAACTTGAAGATGAACTCAGTGTACTTGAACCCGCTGCAGATTCTGGAAAAAAAACCCCACACATATATTAACAGAGTATTATACAGTTGGGATTGTATGTATTTCTAAATTGCTAACTGAAATTTTCCCTAAATGTAAAAGAAACTTGCACAAGATAAAACTGAATAAGCCATTTCTGTAAAACAATATAGATACAAACATTTGTATATTAATCCAAAGAGTACAAAATTCCACCCAAGGCAGGGGTGTCAAATTCACAATGTCACGTGACATGTCACGACATATCGCAACTTTTTCTCCATTGCCGGCAATGGAGTGGGCATGGTTTCGGCATGACGGATCCGGCCTGCAGGCCGGTAGTTTGACACCCCTGACCTAAGGGGAAGGGATACCTAAGCAAAGACACATTTCTTTAAGATATATCATGAAATATATTTGATAAATGAAACTAAATGCAATCATCTGCAAAGTGAATCTTACCTGAGCTGCTGAGAGAGAAAATAGATTTTGAGTTGCTGAGTAACGGTATCAAAATGTTGATAGGAACCCATCCTTCTTTGTTTGTGCTCAAATTCCTAAGATACCTAAAAATACACATACGCTATCAAACTATTTGAAAAACCCAGCATGTGCAAGAAATCATAATATTATAGCTAAATTCAGAAGCAATATAGCCACCCCGTGTTTAGATATAGATGGTATTTGGAATGTAATCTTATATACACTCTGAAGATTCCAGATTTCCAGCTGTGATATGAATTCAAGTCAGAATCTCATTCTCCCATCTCAGACAATATTTTGTCTTGTAAATTCTCTCCTGAATGGTTCTGGCCATGATAACACCTATATTAAATGTAAATTTAGTTTGAGAGACAAATTGAAAAATTTATTACATTTGTAAATCAGATTAACTTCCCAAGACTAGGCTATTTATACTGAATTATTTTAGTTTGTTTTATACTGTATTGTTGTAGTTTTAGCAAAGACTGTTGTTATAACGGGGAGCTGGGGAAGCAATATTCTAAGCTTCTTCAAGATTTCTTAACCATAGTTATATATCTAAAATAGTATATATATACTGGGCATATATATATTTCAATATATTTTGTATTAAAATACAATACCAAAGACCATCTGCTCCTTCATGGATTAGCTGAACTACCTCTCCACTGTTCAGGATCAAGCCATTTGAGTTGCCTTTATTATAACTGGCTACAACAGTGTATTTACCAGGAACCTAAATACAAAAATGAGAAACTATAATTGGTTTAATAAGAAATAATAATCCGTTAGAACTGTCACAATAAATAGACTGACATTTGGGACATAACTATACAGTGATATCAGTTTAGTTTTTCTACAATGAAGCTCCCAAATGCAGTCTTCAGGGTTAAATTAAAGACTATTTTATAACATTTCAGGATTATAGCTTTCTCATATATATGATTTTACATTCATACAAGCATCTAAAATTTCAGAACCTTTAAGAAATGTTGTAAGTATGACTTATAATTATGTTACATTATTAGTAGCTACATTAGAATTGTTCAAAACTATATATAATTCTTTTTTGAATTATAATTATAAAAACAGCAAACATTAATTTTTCCCTAGTGATTACTTATTGAGTGGATTCATATATCTCATCACATTTCTACAATTAAGATGAAAATTACCAATTTCTTCTCTCCCTTTCCCTCTTCTTCTGCATCTGATGAATTAAGTGGATCTTCTGAACTAGACCAATCATCATTTTCTTCAGAAGCATCAAGAGATTGACATGTTTTGGACCAACCTGAATAAATCAATACTTATTATTATTAGAAGATATCTGAAATTCTCTCTTTCTCTGACATATATACATAGAGACACATATATAGTTTTAATATAAAAATGCAGAATATATTTGGAACTAGGAAAGACAAAACAAAATGAATTTAATTTTTTTTCTGCTATTAGTTTCACATTCACCAAATTTTGGTTTTAAACATGAATAATGTTGCATTAAATCATATAGAAACATTTAATAATACCAATATTTAATATTTTATGCTACAATACACAAAAAAGTACAAAACAAGGAACTCATTCAATATTGGCAAAGGTATGCTTAGAACAAGCAAATGATAATCACTGCATTTAATTTCGAATCTCTCACTTCCAATACAAATAACAACTACAGAACAGAACAAAAATATACATTTTCTTTATTTAACAATACAATTTCAAACAACTGCACATATTGTCTCATGTATCTTTCTATATTGGTTCAGTAATCTATCTTCCTCTCCTACTTTATTTATTACATGCAAGAAAGTAAACATGGCAAGCAGGAATATAATTAGAAAATGTTTACTTGCTAATAACAGCTTCTATTGAATAAAATAAGAGGATGGCTTAGGGAAGATTTGGCAGGATGGTTCAGGGAGAATTTGAATGTACTTTTCCTAATAGCTAAGATTATACATTTAATCCCTCCCAATTGATACCAATAAATAGAACAACTTCTTTAATTGACAATGTCTGGAAATGTCAAACAAAGGAAACAAAGGAGAGATATTTGTGTCTGTGAATTTTTCTTTCTGAGATTTTTGCAGTCTATAACTATCATTTCCACCAGATCCCAAAGCATTTAAACTTAGCCAGTCATAGACTGCCAGTGCAGGGTTGAGCTGCAGCTAGATATACTTGAGTTTATATTGGTCATTATATTGATCACCTAATCAAATTAGATCTGATATGGGGTCAGAGGGCTGAAAATTCCACAATCTTTGTTGTATTGAAAGAACAGAAATGTAGAAGAAAAGAAATTATTTTTCTTCTATAGCCCTGCTAACTCTCTGATCTAAATCACTCAGCTACCATTAGTCACAGAGGACTAAACAGATACATAGTACAGATGGTCCTTATTTAGCAATTGCATCATTTAGTGACCATTCCAAGTTAACTAACATTATGACCAATACTCACATTTGTGACCTTCACAGGTTTGTAAAGCTGAAGCAAGATCATATGTACAGTCACGGTTTCACTTAGCAATTGCTTTGCTTAACAACCAAGCTGCAGGTTGCAATTGCTAAATAAGGACTACCTGTGTCTTATTTTTTTTTTCTCTGCACTAGTAGCTCCTTGAATAAGAAACAGATCAATTTTTTTGTGATAATGGTAAATGGGAAACCTTCTGATGACATCCTGACATCTTTAGAAGGAAAAATATACAGATCTAAATAACAAATAGAAATTCTAAAAAGAACTAAAAAGGAAGGTTTTATCAAATAAATGTGCACAAATGAAGAATTAAAGGCAACAATCCTATCTACCAAATCCTACAATGACTAAATCAAGCAAGCAACCTGTGTTTGGGAGCAGGTCTGCTGGAAAGAAAGTCACAACAAACCACACCATGCAGAAAGCTCAGTGATCTAAGCCCAAGAAAAATACGTTACCTTGCCTGCCTTGTGTTGTTAGTAAAAGGTAAGTGGCGCTGACCCACTTTGCCCTGTTCCATGTTAACACAGAACTTGCATCTGTGAAAGAACTGAATAATAAATATCCCTCTTTCATTACGCTGCAGCTACATTACTTCTACTATTGGAAGCTATATTTTACCTGTTCATAACTGAATGGAAACCCAGAAGCAATTTGTTTTCCTCAGCTTTACCCATACAGAGATAATGTTCTTCATATGCCATGTTGAGTGCCTGTTCTGCATATTTTGTGGGAATGTAAGGCTTAGTAATATTTAAAAGAAAAAAGATCCAGAATATTTAATGAGTGATACCTTGATCTCTGATACATAGTGACCTCTAATGAGTACTATAAGAATTTTTCTGAGAAAAAATGGGATCTTCCTTATATTATATCCTTACATCAACAGAGCTTTCTCCTGTCTCTAATACCAGTTGCTTGCTTGCTTGCTTGCCAGGAAGAGAGCTGATGAATAAACAAACAAGAGCAATAGCAGCAGGTTTTCTTCTTTCTCCTCACTTACTCATATCTTTAGAACAGATACAGAAAACCCTAATTCTTTTTTTCATTTACCAGACAACCTGACTTTTGGAGTCCAAACCTGGTATCCCTAGTAAGGGACAACAGTAGCCACAGGCTTAGAGTTGTGAGACTCCTACCAGGTCAAAATATGCTGATGTTTGGTGCTACCTGTATTTCACATATGAGACTTACGTTTTACACTGCCAATTTTTAATATTTCCAAATGAGAACTGTAGATAGATAGATCAGTCAAAGGGATCATTCATTTTATTAATCTACTACTTCCTCATAATGCTGAGTTCATTTTATCATGGATACAAATTATTGTGGTTGCTGTGCCAATTAGTTGGACTGAAATCTTAGAGACAGCATCAATAAATGCTGACTATCTCAGTCTCTACTTAGCAATATGCTAATATGTAGCACTATTAAGGACATTCCTATAATTTTTTTGTTCTCACCCTTTCCCTTCATCCAGTGATCTTCTATCAGTATCACCCTCAGCCTTGCAGAACATAATCATATCTTTTATCTTTTAACATAATCATATCTATCATCTGCCCACATTATCTGCTCACAGCATAACTGCTTATACTTCATTTGAATGGAATAGTTCATATTTCCCTAGTTTAAGGCTGATTGATCAATTCTTCTGCAGTCTTTAGAACTGTAGTAGCAATCAGATCCATTATTTCTATAAAAGTTTCTCAATGTTCATCTTTCACAGACACAAATTAACACTGGAAATACCAGTGATTTGATTATATGGATTGTTATTGCCATCAAAATATTCTTATCATTAATAAACTTGCCTAAGTTTTCTTATTGTAACTTTTCTTCCCTAAGATTAATTTGTTCTTTTATATCTTTAGCACAGTCTATCCTTATTCCTGATTTAAAAAAAATTGAACTGTTGACCATCTTCACTATCAAACTTAAATTTACTAAGCAGTTCATATGGGAATCCATATCAGTTCTTCAATTCTTCAAAGAATTGACAAACATAGTCAGCACATAGCAGAGACTTTATTGGGATTCTATATTTATAAATGTGATTCTACTCTTTCACTCAAACAAAAAGGAGCTGGGTAACTATTTTAGTGCAGTTGTTAAACAAGACTAAGGACAGCAATGGATAAAGCTAAGCCCACATTTTTTGAAACCTGAAAGTCAAATTCCATAGAGGCATTAACCTCTATAAATTTTTAATATTTTATATTTAATAATAATAGTAGTAGTAGTAGTAGTAAAGTTGGAAGGGACCTTGGAGGTCATCTAGTCCAACCCCCTGCTTTGGCAGGAAACCCTATACCATTTCAGACAAATGGCTGTCCAGTCTCTTCTTGAAAACTTCCAGTATTGGAGCATTCACTGCTTCTGGAGGCAGGTTGTTCCACCAGTTAAAGAAGCAACCTAGAACTAAGGAGAAACTTCCTGACAGTTAATTGTTCTAACTGTCAGGAAGTTTCTCCTTAGTTCTAGGTTGCTTCTCTCATAATAAAGTACCACACCATTTTTTGTTTCATACCATAACTTTTCCAATTGGTTTCATGGAAAGCTAAAGTGTATTCTAAATTTACCTTTGCTTTTTTCAAGATTCTTTGATGCTATTGAACTGACACAACCATCTGGACTATCTGCATTTCTCATTTCTTGTTTTCTTAAGTATCTTCCCTCATTTTTTGAAGGGCTATTCATGGAAGAAAATGAGATTATATTTATCATTTATAGTTATCCTAATAGTGCTATATGCATGGATGATTTATATCACAGAAAGTTCTTTAAAACAAACTGCAAGGGATGGGATATCTTTAAAAGAACCCCCCATTAGAACCTAAAATCACATGGGAAAACTGGTTTTAGGAAAGCACGTATAACCTGAGCCCACAGTCTATTTCTTGGGAAAGCCCCTAAGGCAGTGGTGGCAAACCTATGACACGCATGCCAGAGGCGGCACTCAGAGCCCTCTTTGTGGGCACACGTTCCATGTCCCTAAGATGGCAACCATCCCTCTTCAACCAGCAGCCCGAGGTCCCATGTGGCCGGAGGCATCCTGGCATGGCTGGTTTCCCTCCACCCCCCGTCCTGTCCCTCCTGGCCTCGCATGCTCTCCTTTTCCCAGGCATGACCCACTGCATCGCCTCCTCAGCTGTTGGCCAGCTGGCCAGCTCAGAGGCAGCTTCTCTGAACTGCTGGCGGCGGGCTGTGGAGCCCCAGAGTGCGCCGGTCAAGGAGCCGGCAGGCTGTGGCTGCTGACGGACACTGTTGGCCACCATGTGCTCGCTGGCCTGTGTGTGGGGACTGATGGTGTCAGACAGCAGCTGCCCCAGCCCCTGCCTCTTCTTGCCCCGTAGCAATGGCACCTCCGCCCTGCCTCGCCTCACCTCACCCCGCAGGACGAGCCTCCTGCCCACCGCCCCACCTGCCAGAGACCCCCTGGATCTCCCCCAACCCTGCCTGGCCCCCATAAGCATCCCTCCTCATGAGCAACATCGAGGTGACCACACCCACCCAGTCTGCCATGACCACCACAGCCATGCCCACCCAATGGGCCACGTCCCACCTGGCACCCGGTGATAAATAAGTGGGTTTTGAGTTGCAGTTTGGGCACTCGGTCTCTAAAAGGATCGCCATCACTGTCCTAAGGGACATTTAAGTACTGTATAAAAGTTAAGAATTTAAATCTCTAACTTGGCCCATGACACTTGAAATCCAAGAGCATCCGTTGTTTTCAATATTTTAAAAAATAATCTTTGAATCCATTGGGGTATCTTAAAATTATACAGGATATTCGTGAGAGAGGTGGACTCAAGGTACCGAATTTGAAATTGTATTATGATGCTGTGGTTTTAACATTAATAAGTGATTGGGTTAATTTAACAAATGTAGAAATACTCCTCTTGGAGGGTTGGGATTTACTTTTTGGATGGCATGCCTATTTAATTTTTAATAAAAAGGTTGATAGGGTCTTTAAATCTCATATCATAAGGATTTCTTTACTTCGGGTTTGGAGGAAATATTATAGAAGTGATTTTAAAATTCCATTATGGGCTATACCGGGGCATGCGATAGAAGGGATAAGGAGAGGAGTCAAGATGGATAGCGTTTCTTATGCACAACTACTTAGATGCCATGGTAAAAATTGGCAATTAAAATCTTTGGAAGATTTAATACAAGAAAATATTATTTATTCATGGTTTCATTATAGACAAATAGTGGAGAGGTGGAAGATAGATCGTAACGTGGGTTTGCTTAGAGAAGATGAGAATTTATTAAAACAAATAAAAGATCAAAGACGAACCCATATTAAGAGAATTTATGGGGTGTTAGTAGAATTGGATTCAGAAGCAGAATTAGTTAAAGAATGTATGGTTAAATGGGCACAAAATTTTGATGAACCGGTTTTATTAGATACCTGGGAAATTATTTGGGTGAGGAATGTTAAATTTACACAAGCCCAAAATTTAAGGGAAAATTTTTACAAAATGTTTTATAGATGGCACCTTGATCCACAAAAAATGTCTCGTATGTATCCTGACTTACTGCCTAAATGTTGGAGATGTGGATGTTTGGATGCTACTTATTATCATATCTGGTGGTCACGTAAAAATATAAAAGCTTTTTGGATTAAGATATGGTGGAATATCTAAAGAATTTTTAGAAGAAGGGTAAAATTTACCCCACAATTGTTTTTGTTAGGTATTGTTTCTGATTGTGATACTAAAGAGACTATATTGATGTTAAATTTAATTACAGCGGCAAGGTTGTTAGTAGGGCAATGTTGGAAGAAGGAATCTTTGCCTACCTTGCAAGAGTGGTTTTTTAAAGTTTCTTATTTGGCGGAAATGGCAAAGATTTCGTCTTTCTTGAAAGACCAATCGCAAGAGAAGTATTTTTTGGTATGGAAAAAATGGATAGACTTTATACAATATAAGTTGGATATAAAAAAATATTATTTAGTTTTTCAATAACTTATACTTAAAATTTAAGATATTTTATAGACTCTATAGACTTTTCTTTTTTTATTTTCTTTTTCTTTTTTCTCCTTTTCTTTCTTCCTATTTTCTTGTATTTCCTTGTATTTTTGTTTTTTTATACATATATTATTGTTAACTATTTCATAATTTGTTTAATTAATGTATTTAGATTTGTTTATGGTTTATATCTGTTTTAAGACTTTTTGAAATTTTTTTAATTAAGCCTGTATTCAGCTCTGGGAAGGTCGGGGGAGGGTATGGGAGGGTCGGGGGGGCTCGTGGAAGGGAACTGCATTGTTTTGTAAAATTTAAAAAATTTTCAATAAAAAAAAATAATAATCTTTGAGGTAGAGAATGACTCACCTGGTACTAGCTGAGAGAGACAGAGGTAAGCTCTGAGTATGTTCAACAGCTTTATGCTGGCTAGCTTCTGCAAGTGAGAAAGACAAACATTAAAGTTCTCTAATCATGAATAAAGGAAACTGTAGTTCACACAGGGTAACTATTTTATCTGCTACCCAAATACCTTAATAAATGTATAAACATTTTTTTTACACCATAATGTACTGGGTGTGGACAGAATTCTCACTTAAATAATAAGGTTTTAACTAGAGTAACTGTAACTTATGGTAACTTGCTCATGATCATCACTTCTAGCTCATAATATATACTTTGCCATCTCTATTTATCTTTGCCTTTTCTTTATTGGGTCAGAGATATGTCAAAAACAACCTTGCATCCATGTCCCAAGCAACAGATGAAAGTTTTCTGATGTGAAGGAAAAAACATGCTATACCTTCCCCTCCCCCATTTTCTACAGGAAAAATTATGAGGGTGCATCTAAAGATAGAAGGGTGTTGGGAGTCCTGCCTCAAATAATGACCACTATTTCAAGGAAGAAGAGTAAGCTTTGCTCTTTTCCTAAGAAATGTGTTTCTGTTCAGAAAAATAAAGGCAATCTTCACTCTACGCTGATATTTTACATCTAAGTAATAAATATCTGGGAGATTGATGAGAAAGACTTAACTTACGCCTGCAAGCCTGTAATTGGCCAGTCAATACTTTTCTAATTTCATTTACCCAGGTAGCTTTGATTTCAGGAGTTGCAGCCTATGTCAAAAAGAAAAAAAAAACACCAGAAATTTAATCCTTTTGTCTTTCTGAAGGCAGTCAGTCAAAAAGAAGAGAATTTCAGCAAGTGAGGTTAGAATTGTGCCAGGGTCGAAACTGGCAAGAATTGTGAAATTGTGACAAAGTCTTATTATGTGTGCAATATTTATAAGTAAATGTGTGCAATATTTATAAGTACCCCCTTGTACTGTACTGGCTCATTGTCACAAAATGCAAAATTCTGTTTCCCAACCATCTCTCCCGCACAAGACTTAGAGAAAAGACCTGGTGCAGGTACCTTATTGCTGCATAAATTATGTTAATGATATTCTTATATTTGTAATTATACTATTGTTTTCATGTTTTTATTAGCTTCCTGGAGCATTACAGTTGGCAGAAGTGGGAAATAAACTGATCAAATAAATAGCTTTTTCAATAAGTAGTATTTAAAGAAAAGATTTTTACCTGTATTATGTAAACTTCTTCCCTTGCATTATACCAGATTTCAAATTTTTTAATATCGCCTTTCACATTTTCTGTTATTCCAACTGCAGTCATCTAGAAAACAAAATAAATTTAAAGCAATATTCAAGTACATAATCTTGCCAAACAAAATTCACACAAAATTTATTTAATTAAATACATTTTTAATTTAAATACATTTTTGCAATTGTGTGTATGTATATATATATATATATATATATATGTTTTCTGAGGTTTTCGCGGGTGTTTGTATGTAGGTCTTTGGTTATTCGGGTTTTCTCCCACGTAAAATTGGAAGTGTCTTGGCGACGTTTCGACGAAGTCTCATTCGTCATCTCATTCGTCATCTGGTGCTTTCGGCTTCGTGCTTCTAGGAGCAATGTGTGGTTGTAGCTGTTTCCTCCTTTTAACTGCCAGTGGGGGTATGAACTGATTGGATGAGAGCTTGGCTGTGTTCTGATTGGATGGAAGTGTGTTCTGATTGGTTAGGAGCTTGGCTGTGCTCTGATTGGCTGAGGGGTTGGCTGTGCTCTGATTGGCTGGGAGGTTGGCTGTGCTCTGATTGGCTGGGGGAATGTTCTGTTTGGATGGGGGCTTTGTTGTGCTCAGGTTAGTCTGAGTTACCGGGGGGTTTCAAATGGTGAGCTGCATTTCTATTTTTTGGCTTCGCGTTCGTGGTCGTGCCTCATCTTCATGGTGGGTGTCAGTTTGCTTCATGTATGGATTGGAGGGGTTTAAAGTGGCTAATGATGCAGCTGTGGTCTGGCTTCTGGTTTGTGGTCGTGCCTCGTCATCGGTGTGGCTTTGGGTTTGTTTTTTGCGTGGATGTGTGGTGGTGACATCCTGTGTGGTTTTTGTGAGTGTGGGTCTGGTATCATTTTTTGTGTTAGGGAGTCGTTTGTCAATAAGGGCGGGTTTCCAAATGGCTGGTAGGTGGGAGGTATCATCTCGTTGGTTCATGCTGTGTGGGCGTTTTTCTATCTCGATGGCTTCTCTGATTATTCTGTTATTAAAATGTTCAGTTTTGGTGATAGTTCTGGTCTTTTTAAAGTCAATTTCATGTCCTGTGATTTTAAGGTGTTGGACCAGGGAAGAAGTTGGTTCCTCTTTTTTGACTGAGTTCTTATGTTCTTCAATGCGTGCACTTATTCTTCTGTTGGTTTGTCCGATGTATGTGGTGGGACAAGTGGTGCATGGGATTTCGTATACTCCTTGATTTTCTAATTCAATTTTATCTCTGGGGTTTCTTAAGATGGTGGATATTTTTCTTTTTGGGCAGAATGTTGTCTTAATGTTGTGTTTGTGGAGGATCTTACTGATTCTGTCTGTGGTGCCTTTTATGTAAAGGAGGAGGGCTTTGCCATTTTCTTGTTCTCTGTCTTGGGTTTCAGTGGGAGTTTCTTTTTGGATTAGTTTGGTAATCTTATTTCGTTGGAATCCATTGGATGTAAGTACATTAGTGAGAGTGTGTAGTTTGGTTTTTAGGTGTTGTTCATCAGCTAAGCGTTTTGTTCTAGAGATGAGTGTCTTGGCTACGGAGTTGATCTGTGCTGGGTGGTGGTGTGAGAGAGCATGCAGATAGCGGTTTGTGTGTGTTTTCTTCTGGTAGATGGTGTGTCCTAGGGAGCCATTGGATTTCTTGTAGACTAAGACATCTAGGAAGGGAAGTTATTATTAGCTTATTACCAAACTAATCCAAAAAGAAACTCCCACCAATCAGTTCATACCCCCACTGGCAGTTAAAAGGAGGAAACAGCTACAACCACACATTGCTCCTAGAAGCACGAAGCCGAAAGCACCAGCCTGAAGATGACGAATGAGACTTCGTCGAAACATCGCCAAGACAGGCTGGTGCTTTCGGCTTCGTGCTTCTAGGAGCAATGTTACGTGGGAGTAACATCCAATTTTACGTGGGAGAAAACCCGAATAACCAAAGACCTACAAACACCCGCGAAAACCTCAGAAAACATATATATATATATATATATATATATATATATATATATAGATAGATAGATAGATAGATAGATAGATAGATATAGATATATAGATATATATATATATATACGTATGTATGTATGTATGCATATGGAATTATGGCACTGTGCATAAGGAAATAATAACTAATTTGTGTTATTTTAGAAAAAGACATGAAGAAAAAAAATATACAAGAAATGAAGAGAAAACAAGATTGAATTTGTTGGCCAGATTGACTAGGTACTACATTAAACTGTACACTGATATTGTTATCCTAATTTTCCAAGAGCAGACATTGGAGTAAAGAAGATCAAAAGCCTTAAATCTATTTAGAGTTCTTTGGTTTTATGAGATATAAAGTGCTAATGTATATCAGGTTCATCCACCACTTTAACAGAATAGAAACAAGGCAATTTTAGTTTTATTCCAACGTAACTGGACTTCGACCCAATATTCAAATATTTAAAATTAAATAATTCAACATTCAGAACTTCAAATTCAAACATTTGTCTATATATTTTAAATGTATCTTTAAATCTTACATTTAAAGAATTCTTAAAACTGTATGAAGGAGCTTTTTCATATCCTTCTCCGTTTTCTTCTCTCTTTTTACAAAATAAGATCGCCTTCTCGTGGAGGAAGAGGTGTCTTTGCATTGGCTTAAATCGAGCCAAATCTTTCACTTTTGAGTGGCCCTTTTTATGATCAATCCATACGTTAAAGGATCCTTGCATTAAAAGTTTGCCCAGTTCATTCAGGTTCCCCTTCAAGAAAAAAATAGTGTGCATGCACGCACGCACGCACGCACGCACACATAAACACACACAAAAAAGTCAATAGAACTGCAAGTAGATGATTTTATTTTTGATTACTGACATTTGATTATTAAACGATGACCCAAGAAATATAATTTAGCTTAAGTTCAAAACCAAAGGAGAGAATGATTATTTTGTTTACATGTAGTCCTTGAGTTACGACCATAATGGAGCCTGCCCATTACGGTAGTAAGTATCATCATTAAGTGAGGTACCCACATGATTCCCTCACTTAACGACCACATTCCCTGCTCTCCCTGTAGAGCGCAAGGTGCCTCAAGGGTGGTGGTGGGAGGCCCTGGGAAGCCTAGCCCAAGCCCAGGCCTCCATTGCCTAGGACCACCCATTCTCCATGAGGAACACAATGCTCTGCTTCCCACCCTGCTGAATCCCTGCTGGGCCTCACAATGCTCTCTCCCCTATCACAACTTAGTCTATTTATATTTTCCAAAGGTTGCCTTTGGGAAGAAACAGTTGATCTTCCTACAGGGAGGCCATGTGGTACCATCCTGGAAGCAGTGACCATTTTGGGATTGGAGGCAATTCACAGATCATAAGAACTGCAACTGCTTCCAAAATGGTGTCTGCTTCCAGGACAGTACCACGCAGCCTCTATATGTACAGGAAAGCTGTGGGGCAGATTGGCTGGTTTTCCCTTTCTGAATGTGATCTCAGAGAGACTGGAGATTGATGCCACGAACACAGAGGAGCCAGGGGAATGTAAGCAGGTGGGGAATACTTACGCCAATGACTTGTGAGTTTCCCTGTTGACTTCCACATTGACTTTGTGGGGAAGCCAGCAGGGAAAATTGAAAATGGCAGTCAAGGAGTGTGGGGTGGTTTGGAGCCTATCTTAAATGTGCATGGGTTGTCATCCAGATAGGGGGAATTGGAATGACTGGAACTCTGGTCCCAGGCAGCATTTGTTTAGGACTGGTGTAACTTCAAGCAGTTGCCTAAAAAGCGCCATAGATCAAAGAATACCTCTGTTAAGCAGTACACATAGGCTACTATTCAAATATCTGATCTCCAAAGTACGGTTTGAAGTAAAACAGTCTTATCCCTTTTTCCTCAATTAGCTTTATGGCCAAGACTCTGCACAGAAAAGCTTGCAATTTAAAACTGTATATGGAAGAAATCAAATAGGCAAGTTCTAAAAAATTCCAATTACAGGTAGTCCTTGACTTACAACAGTTCATTTAGTGACTAGTCTAAGTTACAACACCACTGAAAAAGTAACTTATGACCATTTTTACACATACAACCATTGAAGCATCTCCATGATCATGCGATGGCAACTGGCTTGTATTTATGATAGCTGCAGTGTTCTGGGGTCATGTGATTATCTTTTGTGACAAGCAAAGTCAATGGGGAAGCCAGATTCATTTAACAACCTCTTTACTAACTTAACAACTGCTGTGATTCACTTAACAATCGTGGCAAGAAAGGTTATAAAATGGGGCAATTGTCTCACTTAGCAACAGAAATTTTGGGCTCAATTGTGGTTGTAAATCAAGCCCTACGTGTATTTATTTTTAAGTTGGGTTAATGACATTTCCATTCCATTTAATTAAAGGGAGAGATAAGATGCAGAGTTAAGTGAGATATCATCTGAAAAACAGAACTTTCTGCAGTTTAAAAAAATATTCTGAGAGGTACAGCATATGGAATTATGAGATTGTATATAACACTTTGTTATATATCCTCAGCTCTTGAAGGATCCTGGATGCCTTTGGCGCCAGCCACCCTCTTGCAGCCCAACCCGCTTTATGCAGTTGTTCTGATGAAGAAAAATAGGAAAGATTAACTATACTGCTTGAAATCCTAATGAAAGTTGGGATTTAATTTGAACCCAAAAATATATTTTTCAGGCTACTGGAAAAATAAAATATTTGTACTATTTATATAGGCTTGGTGTTGCTTCTCTTATAAAATATGAGATAGCAAAAATTGCCAGTTGGCTTGGGATCCCAATGGGGGAATATCACACTAGAGGTGGTTGATTGACTAATACCATCTCCCATCTACCCCCTTGTATATTCTGTCTCCTTCTTCCCTTTCTTTGGTTATAATTTGGAATTTATTGCAATTTTAATGTAATTTTAAACATTTATGTGTATATTTATGGTTTTATTTTAATGTTGTAAGCTGCCCAGAGTCACTTTCTGGCAAGATGGGCAGCAAATTTAATAAACAAACAAATATTATGAGTTACCTCATAGCCAGTGATTGCAATCTGATGCATGGAATCATTAACTGCTTTAAGAATTCCCAATATTGACGTCAGGGCCACTTGGAGATCTTCAGCACCTTCGCAATTTTTACTATATTTTAACATTTCCTGTTGGACAATTATATATACTTCAGGCAACAGAAAATCACCTGCAATAAATCTTTAAGGGAATGCTTAATGGGCCTTTTTTAATCTACTATGGCAAAAGCAATGGTCTTAAATGATTTCAAGGATGAATACAATTTACACTTAATTATTTTCAAATAAATAGATATTAAATCTACTGGATAGAATAAATGACCATTAGCTTCAGGGTCAATTATTTATCAGTTCAAGGGCCATTTTTGTCCAGTGCCTACGTTGTTCTCCCCTGCCACTTTCAGAATGGAGTGTTTGCTTAATCAAGATATTTCTTCTTGAGTAGCATTTCTCTGCAGAATACTGCTTCTGTAAAAAAGTGCTGGCAACTTAACAAACTCAGCTGTGATCTTAATTAGTTGATCATAACCGTACGGGCAGGCTGCTGCCTGAAACTGACTAGATCTTAATCAGTTTTATACAAAGTGTTTTATTATTATTTTTGCCTAAGTGTGTGAGCATGCTAGCCAGTCAGTAGTAGCACATTTCTCTCAATGAACATTCCAAAGGATAGGAGAATGAGAAAAAGTGCTACAAGATTGGCCTCTCAAACTTGGCTGCCTTGGGAATCAAATTTCAGAGATCATCCTTACAGTTTAGGCTCACCCAGTAGTGGGAGGCAAATTTCTATGACATTGTAAGTATGTTCAGGGATAATTTCTTAATAATTTTTTTGAAAGGTTTGCTGTCATCCTGGTGTCTTCCTTGGTGCTCTTGTTCTTTGATATCTATCCTGCAAATCCTAAATTAAATGATGATGCACAAACTAGCAGCAACCATCATTTTTCTGTATTCCTTCTATCCCCTTAAGGTGTTATTGAAGGTGTTGTGTAGTCAAGGTGTTACTGTACACATTCTACTTTCCATTTGTAAAGTAGAAGCATTCAGAATCCTGGATTAGACTTTTTTTCCTGTAGAAAGAACCAGTTTTGATCCAGCAAAAGGATCCAACTTTCAGAAAGGATAAATTTTATTGCCCTGAAGTCTCTCTTGGAGCATCACCTTTTGCTTATTTCGGGGAAGAGATTATTCCTTGATCTTCCAATTATGGTGAAAGTAAGCTATACAAAGGAATAGTAAATGTAGCAATGTTTGCCTTTCTCTGTCCCTCCCCAAATATTCCTTCTGTCTGGAAATATGATTCCTTAAGAGGAACATGGAGTTTTCTATGTCATAATTTGCTAAGGACAACCTCAAAGTCTATTGCAAATCTCAAGTCACTGGACCAAAAATATTTTTTTACACAGTTATTAAAAAAAAGATAATCTCTGAAGTGTGCCACAAATGTGACTGCCTGCATTTCCCCTGGTATCTACTAGATTTCTGTTTTTTGTCCCACCTGATTTCAATTAATCAATCAACCAACCAACCAACCAACCAACCAACCAACCAACCAACGACATAGCTGAATTCCTACCTTTAGCAACAATTGATATTTGGTTATTCTTTGAACAGGCTTTAGTAAATAGGAATCCAAACTCAACTTGTGATCAAGTTTTCGTTGACACTCCTACAAAAAATAAAAGACAGACAATAACTTCTTCCCCACAAGGTCATAATCGACTAAGCAATATGGTCCCAAGTACATAAAAAAAAAATACCTGGAAAAATGCTGAATCTGAACACTGTCTCCAAAGGCTTTCTGATCGAGGTTTATTTTGACAATATTTTTCATAAATTTTGAAGTCTTTCATCTTAATTTTAAAAAACAGAACCATAAATTAAACAATGAAGCATCCATTTGGTAGTTACATCTATAATAATGATCTTACCGAAAGACCATATTCTTCTATCTAGAGATATTGGCAGAGAGTACTGATGCATCTCAAAAACATTTTTCCTGTTCATATTTCTGCTATTATTTTTCCTTTATAGGAAAATCTGTAGTATACATTTACATAAATCAAGGAAAATAATGAGACATTAAGTGGGTACTTTGCTATTTCAAAGGAACTAGCAGCAACTCATAGACTGTTTTCTAAATATACACACACTTCAATGATTGATTAGATGTGGCAAACCAATTGACATAGCAAATTACTTCAAAGTAATGCTATCTCTTTTTAGGGATAATAATATGAGCAATGGGGGATTAGTTGGATATACAAGTCCCATATCCAATACCCCGATGTGTCTGTTACAGTGATCATCATTTATTTAGTGTAGTATTTCTCAACATATGCAATTTTTTAAAGATTTGTGGACTTCAAATCCTAGAATTCTCCAGCCAGCCATACTGTCTAGGGAATTCTGAGATTTGAAATCCACATATTTTAACATTGCTGGTGTTGAGAAACACTAATTTAGTGTAAAGATCAAGATCTGTATAGACCACTATATGAGAATGGTGGGAGAGTGGCTTAACTTTGCACCCAAATTTCTTTCTTTATATGCAAATGTAACCTTGCATTGATGATTAAAATTTTTCTTACTTCTGGAGTATTATGGCACTAGTACAGCTGATCTGTAATTAGGCACTTCATATATTCAAAGCATTACATGAAATGGGAAGCTGGTTGTTACATGGTCAAAGTATCTGTTCATCTATCTGAGACTCATCAGGCTCTTCTGAATGAACCTGAGATCTCTTCCTTCTCCTCTTTCCATTTCCTTCTCCTTCTCCTCCTGCAACTGTTGTATAATTCACCTTCTGAATACAAATCCTAGCAGGGTTTTTTTTTTTTTTTACAAATAATACCAGCAATAACAATTTCTGGAATTTTCCCCACAGGTTATCTGTAATAGCATTAAGGGAGAAGACTTATAAAATGTTGATGCATATAACAGGGATACCTTGGTGGCATTTCTCTGCTGTTCTCAACCAACACTGAAAATCAGTATTATTGGGGATGATGGAAATGCCAATCAGAACTCAGTGAGTCCCAAGGATATACATTTTTGGATCTTGAAAGAATACCGAGAAAGAGCAATTTAGTAACAAATGTTGATTCCAAGTGACCTAAAACCTAACACTTACCCGTTCAAGGAAACAACGTCCTATTAGTTGAGGGTAGTCTATATAATCTTCTATTTCTCTCAAGAATATTCTATCAAAAATAATAATTGTATTTTATTGATGTGATGAAATAATGTAACATACCTACATGTGCCCACATGTATTCTATTCTAAATTTACATGCACATTCTAATACATTTCAGGAGCACGAATCTATAATGGCTGCATGTGCATAAGCAAAATTTACTATTTGCATTAAAAATAAAACAGTTTAGCCTTACACTATATAAGTTACCAGATAAAATTGATGATGCTGGAAAAAATTCATTTACATAACATTATTGATATGTACGGTCATAACAGTGAGCAGTCTTCTCCAATATGAGGCTGAATTTACAGTTTCTAATAAATCTTACTTTCATTGCCAACTCATTTAGTCAATATCAGGTTTTGAGCCATATAAGCAGTCTCTATCTTGACTTATATCTGACTATATGTAAGAACAATTGGAAAAGGAAAAAAATAAGAGGAAAGACAATGAGACTGAAATATATACATGCACATGTGCATTTTATATAAAACATAGTCTGAAAGACTTTGAAAAATGATTCTACATAAATATTAATTTCAAATAAAATCTTAACCACATTCAAATGTTTATAGATAAGTATTTAGAATATAAAAAACAACACTGAGATTTTGTTTTGGTTATAGTAAGCAGCTAAAAGATTGCCAGTAATTTTTGGAAATGAATCAATTAGCATGAGAAAAAATTCTTCCAGGTAATTTACCAGCAGATGACTTGTTATTTCGATATCTAAGCATAATTCTAAAATTGTTGCTTTAAATTAAGTTCATACAATTTGTTTTGCTTTAACATAGAATCCACATGATACACACAGACAACAGTTCAAGTAGGTAGTAGTGTAAAGTCAGAACTTCATGAAAGATATAAAAGGACAAGAGCAATAATTGTACTTAATTATTTCCAGTAAATCACAATTTCTAGCTTATTCATTAACAGTGAATAACAGAATCAGCAACCATTTTTTAATTGGAGCAGTTATATCACATAAAGGTGCATTTCTACAGTTTGGCCACTGGGTGGACTTTGAGTCATGTGGGCTCTAAATGAGGAGTAATGTTTAAAAGTTTTAAAAAAGCAGATGCCCAATTCTGAAATCAGAAACCATCTCTTCCTCTTTGCTTAGACCCCTCCCCCTCTATTCCAATCCACATAAAAAAACAACACGCATAATTCTGTCTCCCTAGCATCATATTCATTGAGAAAGTTACCAGGCTCATATTGCCAATAATAAAATGGCATTTATTTTATTCAAAGAGTTCCTCAATCTCAACAACTTTAAGATGTGTGGACTTCTGGATTATGCTGATTGGAAAATTCTGAGAGTTGAAGTTCACACATCTTAAAAGTTGTTGAGGCTGAGAAACATTACTGTACTCTACTGAGAAACACAGTTTGCAATACCTGTATGAATCCTTATAATATCACAAAATTAAGGTTGGGATTTTAGAGACCATCTATCTCAGCCTCTTGCACAGTGCAAGATCCACTGGAGTTATCTCTGACAGATGACTATCCAGCCTCTATTTGACCAGCACAAGAGAATTCAGCATTTCATGTGATATCTTGTTCCAGTGGTTGATAGCTTGTATAATCAATAACTCCCTCCTGGCAGCTAATAGTACATATATTTAAATTTGCACACAAAATGCATGATTCTTTGTTGCCCTATTCAAAATACAGTAAAACTATTACTTCTGGTCCTGTCTTATGGGCAGCAGAGCTCAATAAAGAATCATGCATTTTGTGTGTATATTACAGTAGATGTATACATGCATGTGTGAACTCCATGGGAATCTTAACAACATGGATTATGAGGAATCCCTATTCAAGAAAGAGAAATTAAATTTATTATAAATGAAAATTTTATGAAAAAAATAAGCAGGAGTTTTATGGAAAGAACTTATGCCATCACTGTTAAGTTTTGTTTGTCAGATTATTATGAATATCAAAATTCCTAATACAGCCTCTCTTTGACACCCTGGTTTTCATCCTATGTTGGACTACAGTCTCATTGTCCTTGGCCATTATGGCACACTAGAGGGTATCATCTGGGAATATGGTGTTCTACTTGTGTTAAACAATGGGACATTTCCTTTGTTATTATTTTTAATGCCCTATTTATATTGCCAGAAAGCTTGCATGAGATATAAATCCCAACCTGTTGTGAAAGTGATAGATTTCTTCCATATTTCCAAACAATACATCTTTCTTATTTTGTAGCCCAGCTGAAATGAGATGTGCCATTAAGGGGTTGTCCATTTCTGCTGCATAGCCCTGTAATACAAAAGGGAAGCAGATTCATTGCTTCCACTGATTTCCCTTTAAGTGTCTTCTATTTTCAACAATTGCAGCCTGCTCACTGCTGATAAACATATTTCAATATTAATCTGCTCAGGCTTTCAATACAGAGTTTACATATCTTAACAGTATTATATAATTTAGTTATAATCTATGAACATTTAATTTAGAAAAATAGTTAACATGAACAAATTTTGTAAATAATCAACATGTGTTTTGAGCTGTTTATTACATGTACTGTAAGTCAGAACTATTTATAGCCACATATACAGCTGATAATTTGAATGTTTTGACTCCAGAGTTGATCACAAAGTCTGCAGGTTCTCACAGAATAACCTTTCAAGGCAATTGTTCTTTCTTCTTCCTTCCTGACCCAAGTTCCTGTTTATGGCTTCTGCTCTAGGCAACAAGACCAAATCTATTATTTAGCACACCAGGAAAGACGCAGAAACCTGTTCTTTAAACACTCATTAGGCTAGAGAAGATTCTGCTCTTAGTTGATGTATCCAAAACAGCTGGCTTTGAAAGGGAAGTAATACAAAGTGGTTGTATTTGGTTCTGGGGAACTTCTCTCAAGGGAGAATACATACTTAGAAAAGGAAGAAGCTGCAATGACATTCTAATTCTCTCTTCCATGCCCTTATATTTAAGCCATTATATTATAGTCTTTATTTCATCCATCACTAGAAACAAGAGCAGCAAAAAAGGGGATTGTCTTAATCTTAATGGAAACCAAACGAATATAAGGTCCGTGTCTTTGATTTTCAGTTTCTCTTGCCTTCAGTAAAAATAACTTTACGTTAAAATAGGGGGATCAGAATATATTTACAACGGGCTGGATGGTTGTGAATCAAGCCAGAAAAAAGGAAGCTTTTCAGCTTTTTGACTTGGTTCTCCTTGACTTCAGCGATAGTGGTGGAGAAAATATTAACAGAAGCTGAAGCTGTTACTTTTTTAGTCACAGAACATCTGGCTTCACAGCATTCATATATTGCACCTAGCTATATTAAGTTTCTTAGTTTATTTCCTCAGCAAATTTTAATTAGGAAAAAAAAACACAGATTAAGATGACTTGTGAACTCAGTGGACCATCTCTTTTAAAGTGAGCAGTGCCCAGCAGTATTCACTTTAAAAAAAGGCTCCAATTTCCAAAAGTCAAATTTTTCTAGAAGACGGCTGATATTTTTTTTAGAACATTTATGTTCTGTAAAGTAACATTTTTGTCCCACAAATATTTGACTCCATGTAGTACCTATGTAAATAATCCACATCATTTTCTACATTACAGGTCAATTAAGGAATCATTTGAAATAAACCATTGGCAAGGATTTAAAAAATGTACCTCAAGAACACAGAGAAGTTCCTCCACATAAGCTCGTTCAGTTTCAAGAAGTTCATTCATTACATGTCTATCAACATTAAGGAATAAATGAATTATTAAATGGTTTCAGATTTCAAAGCCTTTAAATGTGTAGAATTTTCATCAGTGGAGATCAAGAATTGGTTTTTAATAAAAACTAGCAACTGCAAAACAAATTGGATGGTGTTTCTTAGATCTGATCACAGAGAAATATTTTACCAAAAATTGTTTGCCTTAAGGCAACTAATATGACAGAAAAAGGTTTTGCTGTATCCAAGAGAATGGATACGGAACTATTGTCAAAAAAAAAAAAAAAAGATTAGTGATTAGAACTGAATGACTACTGCTTGATTAACACATTTGAGTTGCCCCTTAATAACTTATACTACCTTTAAATGCATTTGTTTGACATTATTCTGGAAACATTTCTCACATAAGAGTTGCTTGGATAAAAACATACTCACTTGCGTAACACTGCTAGATTTTCTTCATCATCTGTCACAGACACACTTTTAGACTGCTGTATTTCATTTATCTCACTCTAATAAAAACAAGAACAACAACTTGGCATCAAATCTTTAAAGCCAAACCTCTCGTTTCCAAAATGTGTTTGGCTAGAGACAGAAAAGTTTGGTTCACAAATGATGTGACATGCATGCATATGCTAATATATATAGCCTGTCATTTAAAATTAAAGATTATGTACTTATATTGCAAGAAAGTGTCCCAAATGCATTATGCAATTAATCGAGTAGATGAGAACATTAGACAAACTGTATAATATGAACTCATATTAGGCAAAATGCACGTGACACACAATTATTGCTAAGTTCTTCCATGTTAAACAAATATTTATTTTTCAAATCCTGGTATAGGATGCTGGGACACAATTTGGCTGTTCCTGATCTCCAAATCAAGGTCACCTAGCAGATCAAGGAAAAAAAATGTTAATGCAGTCTTTCTCTTGCAGGAAATTCCTTGCTCTACTCCTTACTGTAGCACAAGCAATTGAAAAGTGATATCTAAGCTCTGATGGATCAGGGATCTGATTCAATAGGCTGCTTCATATGCTTAGGGAGAATTTATCATGTCAACTGTCTCTATTTCATTCATACGCTGTTACCTTCATTTTTCTGACGTTCACTCCCCTTATTGCATGGTTATCAGAACTGGATGAATCTTCAAACTCTATGTGAAGGCCTGGTATGTGAAACAGAATCAACCACTGTAACTAGAGCTCATGTCAAGCTAAGCATACTTGCCAGATCAATAATTTTTGTTTTCAACTAAAACACAATACCTTGACTGATTGGTTTCTTACCAGGATAAGGACAAGGTGATTTTAGATATCCCTCTGGTCTAGGTGCCACTGGTTGAACAGGGCGTGTTTGCTTAGCTGCTAGTTTCTTAAGGCTGACTTGCCTCTTTTGAAACATTTCTTCCATACTTTTCTGTTTCTGAAAAACCTTTTTTACATGTTCCTGTAAAAAGAGGAGGCAAAATTCTATGTGGACCATTGAATCCATAAGACATCATTTTAAAAGCTGAATATGGAAAGCGATGCACAAAAATGTGCTCAACATTAAATTGATGCACTATACAAAATACATTTATTAGACCGAATCTAAGCCAGTGAATTATGTCTTCTTAAACAGAGCAGGACTGGGATGGTCTGGAGAATTTGCAGCCATGGTGAAAACTATACTCCTTATGTGACTATAGTGCCTCTGTTAAAATAAGGAGTGTTGATATAAGATAGTGTATTTAAGAGTATCCGTAACATTTATGATTCCCAAATCTCAAAAATATTATATTGCAGTAATTGGGTGTCTTTTCCAGTAAATTAAATGACTTATGGAAATTTAGCAATGACAAATACACTGCCACATTATTTATGTTATGTTAAACATCAATAAGTGAGTTCTTTAACCAAATAGTTAATTTACTTGAAAAGTTACCCACCTAGGCCATTGATGTTATAGTTTATGAAGATTTTGGTTCAGTAAGCTGAACAGACATATTAAGTGATTTCAACTCAAATATTCCAAGTCACTGCTTATATATGTTTTTGTAAAACTGTGATGAAATATTGTTCTGAAATCTTAAGATTACCATTAGTTCCTCAGTGAGGATAACTTCAAATTCTTTGGACAAGTAACTTGGTTCCCTGAGTTTATTATCACCACCCATGTCCAAAAATTGCTCAATTTCCTGCAGAGCTGCTTCTGCTCCATCCTGCGATTGGCATTTGTCTACAGGTTGAGAAGCCAGCAGATAAATTCCATCATCACACCACTTCATGCACTACAAGGGAGCCAAGAAAAACACATCATGAAAATGCTGCATTATACAAATTATTTATGTTATCAAAATTACCAGAATGATTTGAAGAAACCAGGATTTTTTTGATTGTACTATTCAGGCTACTATATTGTGAGGATGAGTGGTAAATGAGCTTGGCTGATCCAGAGACAAAACTGTGAAACTTGGAAATGGTGGAAGAGATGAAATATTTTATCTCCAAAGACAGTTGAATCAAGAAAATATTCTGAAGGTGCGGCCTCAGCCACAATAAGAGCACACACTACTGGCATTTTTAAACACTGCATTGTATTATGTATAATGTTTACCCTAATAGAAACTGTTCAGAAGATGAGACAAAAAATGAGATCAAAGTTTTCTCTCCTCACACAAACAGTCCACAACTGTATGACATGACCACATCCCATATACTGAAAGAAGACATTTTTCTGATTTGTCACAATCTAAATCTAGGCTTCATTAAGATTATACTTTGAAGACTACCTGTAGATTTAAGCTTAATCAGCAAATAAGAGAGAAAATGGAGAGAAAAGACATTAACTAAGTTTAATGCTGACTGGAAACCCCTTATAGACTTTTTGTGTGAAACAAAAAAAATGAATTTATGATCACAGGGTTGTTGTTGTGAGGAAAAGAGGAGGAGGATGATATGTTGGGTATGTTTGCCACCTTGAATTATTTGTAAAAATAATAAAGGTGGGATGGATGGATAGATGGATATATAGATAGCTAGATAGCTATAGTTGAGATTTAGAAAAAAATATAGAAAAAATAAAAGCCATGCTATATTCACAGAGGAAGATGTTAATTTATATTTATAACTGCTGTAAAAGACAATTGGAAGTTACTTCTTTATATTTCCTTTCTTTCATTTCCTTTCTACTTTATTCTAAATATGTCTTCTTTTTAGTTTTTATCTTGTTAAAAATATTAATAAAGTTGTATATAAAAAGTAAGTAAGAAGGGAAGAGGATGAGATTAGGTTTACCTTTTCCAACCGTCTATGTAATTCAAATGAATGGTTCAGGAGAGCCCTTTTTCTATTCACTTCCGAAATAATCATTTCATAATGTTGTCGGAGTTCATTGCACTTGGGAAGAATAGAGTCCACTGCATAATGCTTGTTTTCTATAAACTGGTCTCCTTTAGAAATTAATAGGCTGGCTTTTCCCAAAACTTCCTAAGGAAAATAATATAGCAGAAAATATAAGTTGTAACATTATCTCGTTATAAATATGTCCCACAGAAAAATGTGTCAAAATAAAGAATCCTTATATCTTTACTTGTGTTTTTTCTTCAAAACTGGCAAGATCTTTCAGAAGGTGCTTCACATGTGAACTGTTATTTCCCATTTCCATGAAATGAAATAATTTCTCAGACACACTATCAAGTGCTGTTTTGATCTAAATGAAATAGAATATATCAATTTTTGTAAGTCACAACAGTGTAACACAGCTACAAATCAGACTTTGGATCACAGAAATCAATTAGCGGTCATGATCATAGAAACATATATAAGCAATATTTTTTGAGAAACTTTTATGTTATGGTTCTTTAGAGCAGGGGTGTCAAACTGCCAGCCTGCAGGCCGGATGCATCACGTGGAAGCCACGCCCACCCCATTGCCGGCAATGGAAAAACTGGCCAATACGTTGCACGATGTCACGTTATGTTGCGAGTTTGACATATCTGCTTTAGAGCATACAGAATAACACCATTGGAAGAGACTTGGAGTTCTTCTAGTCCAACCCCCTGTTCAAGCAGGAGACCCTATACCATTTCAGATTGATGGTTGTCCAATCTCCTTCTTAAAAACCTCCAGTGTTGGAGCACCCACAATTTCTGGAGGCAAGTCATTCCACTGATTAATTGTTCTAACTGTCAGGAAATTTCTCATTAGTTCTTGGTTGCCTCTCTCCTTGATTAGTTTCCATCCACTGCTTCTTGTTCTGCTCTCATGTGCCTTAGAGAATAGCTTGACTTTAAAACTTGTCTAGCTTGACTTTAAAAACATGCTATCATGTCACCCCCTAGTTCCTTTTTTTCATTAAACTAGACAAGTTTTTAAATTATTAAGGCACATCAAGTAAGCCAATACTGGTAAACTATAACTATTATGCTTTTAATTTCATTTTATCACTTAAATATTTAAATTACTATTATATGTATATTGTATGTAAATTATTACCATACAATGGTAATCATACAAAGGATGATCAAAAACATCTCTGATGAAATGTATTTTCTAGCACAGAATAATGGAATCTTTTAAATAAATTCCAAATTTTAAATAAAAATACTGCTAATCCAGAATTGTTTTAATTAGATCAACATATCATATACCTCTTTGAAATCCACTTCAAAATATCTAAGTTGTAAGCACTGCTCAAGCTTCTGTTGATGTTTATACCAAAAGTCATCAAAAGCTGCTTCTGTCTCATCTAGTTGAGATAAAAGCCTTAAAAGACAAAAGACGAAGCAGTTTTATATCATGTATTCCCCAATTGAAGATGGGATAAGGGAAATGAGAAATACCAAGAAGGGAAAGGATATGAAACTGTTAGAAAAAAATCACAGCACTGAAAAATACAGTCATTATCAAATGAAAATCTAATGTACTGGAAAAATTGGTGGAAAAGGCAGATTGATAGAAAGACGGTGTGTGTGTGTCAGGAGGACTGATAACAGATTGCTAGTATGGGTATGGTATGGGATGCAGGTAAAGCATTTATGCGCGGTGTTTTGATAAAAATGAATAATTTTTATAAGCGAAATCAGATTCAGAAACGTAGAGAACTTGAAGATGAAATTAAATTAAAAGAAAGGGCTTTGATTCTAAATCCTTCTGATGAAAGTACTAAAGAATCTGTAAAGTTATTAAGGTCACAATTTAATATGTTGATAGCAGATCAAGCTGCAACCAACTTATTATTTATGAAACAAAATACATTTTGTAATGCTAATAAGCCGGGGAGATGGTTGGCTTATCAATTAAGAAAGAAACAGAGACAGAGAATAATAGAGAAAATAAATTACAAGGGTAAACTAGTTTCTCAGAAGGAATTAATTAAAAAATCTTTTTTGGATTATTATCAAAACTTATATAAATCTACTAATGTACAATTGTTAGATATAAATAAATATTTAGCTGAGGCAAGTTTTCCTAAACTGACTGAGGATCAGAAATATGAAATTAATGGCTTAATTACTAAGGAGGAAATTGCCTCAGCAATTCAACAATTGAAATTAGGGAAAGCACCGGGTACGGATGGGTTAACAGCTGTTTATTATAAAGCTTTAATGGAGGAGATGATCCAACCATTAAATGATCTTTTTAATGGTATCTTACAGGGTTTAGAGATTCCTCCTTCATGGCGTAGTGCCTTTATATCATTGATTCCAAAGGAGGATCAAGATCTTACTTTACCAAAAAATTATAGGCCTATATCTCTTTTAAACGTGGATTATAAGATATTTGTAAAAATTTTGGTAAATAGGCTTATGAGGGTGGTGCATCATCTTGTGCATAAAGATCAATCAGGGTTTATAACAGGAAGGTATATGAAAAACAATGTTAGACAAATTATTAATTTATTAGAATACTTAGATAAGAACAACCAAGTTCCTGCAGGGCTCATATTTTTAGATGCTGAAAAAGCATTTGACCAATTGAATTGGCATTTTATGCTAAGAGTAATGGAAGAAATGAATTTTGGTGAAAATATATTACAAGCCCTTAAGGTAATATATCAAAAACAAACAGCACAACTTATTGTTAATGGAGGTTTGTCGGAGGTTTTCACAATAGAGAAAGGTACTAGACAGGGGTGTCCTTTATCGCCATTGTTGTTTGTTTTAACATTGGAAATATTATTGATCAAAATTCGAGAGTCTCAGGAAATTAAAGGAATAATGTTAATAAAAAAGAATATAAGTTAAGAGCTTTTGCGGATGACTTGGTTGTTACTTTGTCGCAACCTGATTATTCTGTAGTAAACTTATTACAGTTGATTCATCATTATGGCTTGGTCTCGGGTTTCAAGATTAATGTAAATAAGACCAAAATTTTACCTAAAAATATGTCTAGTCAGGAGAAGCAGATTTTGACTAACCTGACGGGTTTTGAGATTGTTAATAAGGTAAAATATTTGGGGGTGATGTTGTCTGTTTCTAATGTAAAATTATTTAAAAATAATTATGAAAGGTTGTGGGTCAGGGTACAGAACGACTTGAAGAACTGGGAAAAGTTGCAATTATCCCTCATGGGAAGAATTGCAGTGATAAAAATGAATATCTTACCCAAGTTTCTTTTTCTGTTTCAAATGTTACCAATTTTGAAAAATGAGATTAATTTAAATGAGTGGCAGAAGGGTCTTAATAAATTTATCTGGGCAGGGAAAAAGCCAAGGGTTAAGTTTAAAATTATGCAAGACTTCCGTGAGAGGGGTGGACTTAAGGTACCAAATTTGAAATTATATTATGATGCGGTGGTTTTAACACTAATCAGTGATTGGGTAAATTTGACAAATTCTGAGATACTTTATCTAGAGGGATGGGATTTACTTTATGGGTGGCATGCCTATTTAACATTCAATAAAAAAATGGACTTGGGCTTTTAAATCTCATATCTTAAGAATTTCTTTACTTAGGATTTGGAGAAAATATTATAAAAGTGATTTCAAAGTACCATTATGGGCTATACCTTGGCATGCGATAGAAGCAATAAAAAGAGGGGTTAAAATGGATATGATGTCTTACAGACAGTTACTTAAATGGGATGGACAAAACTGGCAATTAAAATCACGGGAAGAGTTAGCACAAGAAAACTTTATTTATTCTTGGTTCCAATATAGGCAATTACTAGACAGATGGAAGATGGATTGTAAGGTGGGTTTTCTTAGAGAAGATGAAAATCTTATTAAGCAAGTGAAGGATTCAAGACAAACCCACATTAAGAGAATTTATGCGGTTTTAGTTGAATTGGATTCAGAAACGGAACTAATTAAAGACTGTATGATTAGATGGGCGCAGAATTTTGGTGAGCCAGTCTCATTCGACACCTGGGAAAATATTTGGGTGAGAAATGTCAAATTTACACAAGCACAGAACTTAAGGGAGAATTTTTATAAAATGTTTTATAGATGGCACCTTGATCCACAAAAAATGTCTTATATGTACCCTGACGTGCAACCCAAATGTTGGAGATGTGGTTATAAGGAGGCTTCCTATTATCATATTTGGTGGTCATGCAGAGAGATAAAAGCATTTTGGATCAAAATATGGTGGAATATCCAGAGAATTTTTAGAAGGAGGGTAAAATTTACTCCGCAATTATTTTTGTTAGGTATTGTTACAGATTGTGATACAAAGGAGGTTGTATTGATGTTAAATTTGATTACAGCCGCTAGGCTGTTAGTAGGACAATATTGGAAGAAGGAATCTTTGCCTACATTGCAGGAATGGTTTCTTAAAGTAGCTTATCTGGCGGAAATGGCAAAGATTTCGGCTTTCTTAAAGCAACAAACGCAAGAGAAGTTTTTTGCTGTTTGGGATAAATGGATAAAATTTATACAATTTAGATTGGGTATACAAAAATATTATATAGTTTTTTCATAAGTTTTATTTTCATATATATTATAGATAATCTTTTTATATATATAAATATAAAGTTCTTAATTTAATTTTTATTTTTATTTCTTAAGCCTATATTCTGCTCTGGGAAGCTCAGGGGGGGGGGAAGGGAGGGTTTTTTTTGGGGGGGGGAGGGGTGGGGGATGGGGGTTTTTTCTTATATATGTATTGTTTAGTTTTATTTTTTTGTATATGTTGTCTCTTGTTTTGTATTCTTTTTTCTTTTTTGTAAAATTCATAAAACTTTTAATAAAAAAAAACAAAAACAAAACAAAACAAAAAACAGATTGCTAGAACAGGGCTTTTCAACCTTTTCACCCATTGTACCACTTTTAGGACATGGCAACATCCGAGTACCACCAGCAAGATGTCAAAAACTTGACCAAAAAAAAGGAAAAAAGTGATAAAGTACAGGTAATTCTTGACTTGCAACAGTTCGCTTAGTGACTGTTCGAAGTTACAATGGCACTGAAAAAAGTGCTCCCCAAGCTACAGCCGAGCAAGACACCTGACTGCCTGGCAGCGTTCTTCCTCCTGTCCTGAGGTTTTCATTGTTGTGAGCATTTCTGTTGAGGATTGGCAGCAGGGGTGGGGTGGGGGGGGGTGTTTGGTTTTTATTCCCTCCATCTGCTGAGTGGTTTCAGCAGGTTTTGGTCACTTCACATGACCCTGGGACACTGACCGTCATAAATATGAATCAGTTGCCAAGCATCTGAATGTAAATCACAAGACCCTGGAGATGCTGCAACATTCCAGCTTATTGCTGCTTCCTCAGGGATCAGCAGAAGCACCAGGATCAGCGCTGAGTTCCAGATGGAGCCTGGCACTGATCCTGGCACTTCCACTGAACCCTGACAGCCCCGAAGAAGCACTGATCAGCTGGAAAGCGGCACTGATCCTGGCACTTCCTCTGAGTCCTGACAGCCCTGCAGCTCCAGCCATCTCTCTCAGGCTTGTGCGGTGCTGCCACCGGTTCAGCTCATTCCCCTCCCCCATTTTCTAGGATGAGCGCGTACCACCTGCCAGGTGCCAATGTACCACAGGTGGTACCCGTACCACTGGTTGAAAAGCCCTGTGCTAGAAAACTGAGGGGCACAGAGGCTTGAAATATACTTTTAGGAACATACAAAATAATGGATGTATTTAATTTGCGTGGGAAGGCATGAGGCTTCTAAAAATCAAAAAGGGAGATAAAAAGCTTGGTCCTCTATTTCTTTTCCAAGTCTAATATATTAGAAGTAAAAAATTTGATATTCCATGCAAACAAACAACAAGCATGTTAAACCACATGTAATGTTATAATCTAGTTTAGCCTCTCCCAACCTGGACTCTCTTCCAAATATATGGACTTCAAATCCCAGAATTCCCAAACCAAATTTGGGACAGTTGAGGTTTACACTGGTTGGGGAAAAGTGGTTTAATTAATTGCTTGTCTGACTCAATCTAAGCAATTTATTATACCCACGTTCGTGTGTGTGTGTGTGTGTGTGTGTATAACCCTTTATTTTGCCTGATATTCTCTCATTCTCATTCTTTTGCTGAGAGAGATAACATAACTTGCCAGATGGCACTGGCAAGGTGAATATTGGACCTTCACAAAAGTATTAAAATATTACTATCAGGAAGATTTTGGAAACAGAAAAACAGGAATACAATGAAAATATATATTAAATACTAGATTTATCTCACCTTTCTACAGTAATTTGATTTTCTATTTGATCTGGATTCAGTTTGTATTCTGGATTTTCAAGGACTGGTTTTCGAATATCGTGGAGAATATCATGACCTTGCCTTAAAGCTATTTTCAAATCTTCCTATAGAAAAGTTGAAGAGTATATAGTTAGGCTTTGTTGCATAAGAATTCAACTTTGAAATGCCATCCCAGGGTTTTGAAACAATACAGTGTAAGCCAAGAATGGGTAACCTGTGGTGTGTGGCAAACTCCAATCTGTGCTTTCAATTTTTTTTTTGACACAGTTGAACAACAGTGTGATTTTACACTGATAGAAAATCAGCACCAATGTATTATGCTGCTCATAGTACATGTGAAATCTAGAGGTGGTATAAAAAGACTTTAATAAATAAATAAACAAATAAACAAACAAATCTAAAAAATTACAAAACCTAATTGTGTGTGTTTGTGTGCACAAATCCAAAAAGCTTATTCTAACATTATAAGGCAAAAATAAATGTTAAATAGTCCACTTGTTATAGATAAAAATCATGTCACAGGAATTGCTTTGCCATATTTATAATCATCTGCATTTCGAGATTTTATTACTGTTTTAGCCATATTTAAAACTTTAGTTCCATGGAAAATGTGAAGGATCATAAAATTTACTGGCACTGATTTAAAGGGAGGATATCACACAACATTCAAATGAAACATTTGTAAAGGAAAATAAAACTAAACACCAATTAATGGGCTAACTCAATAAAATTATCTTATGTAACAACTGCTCTAACATACCTTCAGTTTGTCTCTCCTTTCTGTATGTGTTGCAAGGAGGTAGCTGGTGGCCTGAGCATCATTTGGTAGCTCTGTTTCTGCAAGCTCATTCCCAAAGGATTGAAGTGTTTGAGCTGTCTCCTTAACCATTTGAGCAAAGCTCTCTATAGCCTTATGAATTACAAATACATAACACACATACATTGGACACGGAAGAGATGTATTTATATATTTTGTTTTAAATATAAATATATCAATAGGCATAAATACAATTATCTGTGGTGGTCCTTGCAGACATTTCATTACTCAACTAGGCAGCATCAACCATGCAAGTGAGCATGGGGTTTACTCCTTGTTTATATACAGTAGCTTGCTTTGCCAGTTTTGGTGAGCTTGATGTTTTTTGAGAGTTCCAAGACTCCATAGTTCAAACCCCAGCTAAATATATTCTAGTAAAAATTATCTCCACTATTAACTCCTTAACAAATATATCCTTAAACTTTTAAAGTATACTTATGATATTAAATATTTTTTAAATGTTTTAGTTATATTCATGCAAAGTGCACAAAGAAAGCAAGCCACAATAAGCCAAAGAAAAGACACAATGAAAGAAATGGAAATATAGCTAAATTATACTAAACCAACTCCTCTGCACCTGTTTATTTTTGAAAAATAGATGTGCATCTACATGACCAGATACCACTTCATACACTCCCTTTTATTTTTTTAAAGTCCTCATCTCATACTATACTTCTTCAGGGTTTCTATCCAACCACAACATTCTCATCTATTCCTTCTTCTTCCATGCATTTGTTCTGCAACTGAATAATTCCACCTGAGATTAAAGCACCTCAATGTATTTTTTTCAGTGGTTCTCAACCTTTTCTTCACCATGGACTGCATTTAAATATCTTCTGTGGCCATGGACTAAGGCTACGGACCCTCAAGATTTAACTCAGGATTTAAATCATAACATTTCTTCATGGACCCCCTGTGATGACATTGCAGCCCGCCAGGGTTCGTGGACCACAGGTTTGGAACCACTAATATAGATCCCTTCTGATTTTTTTGTAGAGAGTTCAACACCCTATCCCTTCAACACCCTATCCCTTCTTATTTCACCATACACAATTAAGAACCCTATCTGCACTTCCATCAACTTATGCTTATATATCTTCTCATATACTTAAATGTCAATTCTGTTGGCCATTTTCATCTCTTTTGACAAATATATTTCCAGAATTTGTTTCAGCCCATTATTTCAGGTGCTACTTTTATAATACTTTGTCTAGCAGTACTCACTTGAGTTTCATCTCAAACCATTTCATTACTTTTATTTCTCATTATGCTGGAAAGTCCTCTTAAAAAGCTTTTTTTAAAAAATGTCCAGCAAAATCTCTTGGAATTTCTATGCTTCTTTTAATGGCTTTCCTCTTTTTAACCACATTCTTTGCAGCTATATTTTTATCTACACATATAGATAATATTTTTTACCAAACATCCTTTCAAACCCTTCTCCGCACATTTCATGGTACTCTGCAATTTAATTTTTTTTATTTCTTTGCAATCAAACTACATTTCCTATTTCCTTAGGTCTCCTTTGCCTTCATTCTATTGGGAAAACAACCTCTGTTCTAACACTTTTTCATACAGGGCTTACTCTTTCTCTTTCTGCAGTTGTTGTACATTCACTCCAGCATTTTTCACTTTTCTATCATGCTCATTTCCCCGTAAAGTTCCATTCCACTCTATATGGGACTATAGATAGTCATCAGCTTATGACCAGTCAGTTAGTGACTGTTCAAAGTTACAATCCTCCAAAAAGTACTTAGGACCTGAATTTATGATGATTGCCTCTGCGGTCATGTGATCACATTTTTGGGCACTTACAACCAGCTTGCATTTATGGCCATCTGCAGTGTCCTAAGCAATTTATAATTTACTTATTTATTTATTGTTGCTGGAAGTCAGCACTTAAGATTTCCAGCAAAAAATGCCGCAGTGTTTGCTTTATGACTGCTGCAAAAAGGTAATAAAGTTGGGCCAGTCACATGGATTCCTCTACTTAAGACCGACATGACATACAACAGAAATTCTAGCTGCCTTACAGTTGTAAACTGAGATCCATTCCATGCAAAGATGGGCATGTTAAAGGACCAAAATGGCAGGGATCTAACAGAGGCAGAAGAGATTAAGAAGAGGTGGCAAAATTATACAGAAGAACTATACAAGAACGAGCTTAGCGTCCCTGATAACCATGATGAGGTGGTCACTGACCTTGAGCCAGACATCCTAGAATGTGAAGTGAAATGGGCCTTAGGAAAGCTGAGCAACAACAAAGCTAGTGGAGGTGACAGTATTCCAGCTGAGCTATTCAAAATCTTAAATGATGATGCAATAAAAGTGCTACACTCAATTTGCCAGAAAATTTGGAAAACTCAACAGTGGCCACAAGATTGGAAAAGGTCAGTTTACATTCCAATTCCAAAGAAAGGCAATGCCAAAGAATGTTCAAACTATCGCACCATTATACTCATTTCAATGCAAGTAAAGTTATGCTTAAAATCCTACAAGCTGGACTCCAGCAACATGTGGATCGAGAACTACCAGAAGTACAGGCAGGATTTCGAAGAGACAGAGGAACTAGAGACCAAATTGCCAACATGTGCTGGATCATGGAAAAAGCTAGGGAGTTCCAGAAAAACATCTACTTCTGCTTCATTGACTATGCTAAAGCCTTTGATTGTGTGGATCACAACAAATTGTGGCAAATTCTTAAAGAGATGGGAGTATCAGACCATCTTATTTGTCTCTTGAGAAACCTATATGTGGGTCAAGAAGCAACAGTGAGAACTGGACACAGAACCACTGATTGGTTCAAAATTGGGAAAGGAGTCTGACAAGGCTGTATTCTGTCACCCTGCCTATTTAACATATGCCGAACACATTATGAGAAAGGCAGGGCTAGATGAATCAAAAGTTGGAATTAAGATTGCTGGGAAAAATATTAACAACCTAAGATATCAGATGATACCACTCTATTGGCAGAAAGTGAAGAGGAACTAAAGAGGCTCTTCATGCAGGTGAAGAAGGAGAGTGCAAAAGTTGGCTTGAAATTTAACATTAAGAAAACCAAGATCATAGCATCCGGCCCGCTCAATTCCTGGCAAATAGATGGGGAAGAAATGGAGGTAGCGACAGATTTTATCTTCCTGGGCTCCAAGATCACCACAGATGGGGATTGCAGCTAAGAAATTAAAAGATACTTGTTCCTAGGGAGGAAAGCTATGGCAAATTTAGACAGCATATTAAAAAGCAGAGACATCACCTGCCAACAAAAGTATGTATACTCAAGGGCATGGTTTTCCCAGTTGCAATGTATGGCTGTGAAAGTTGGACCATAAGAAAGGCTGAGCGCAAAAGAATTGAGGCATTTGAACTATGGTGCTGGAGAAGACTCCTGTTAGTCCCCTGGACTGCAAGGCGATCAAACCGGTTAGTCCTAGAGGATATCAACCCTGACTGCTCTTTAGAAGGCCAGATCCTGAAGTTGAAAACTCAAGTACTTTGGCCACCTAATGAGAAGGAAAGACTCACTGGAGAAGAGCCTAATGCTGGGGAAGATTGAGGGCAATAGAAGAAGGGGACGACAGAGAATGAGGTGGCTGGATGGAGTCACTGAAGCAGTAGGCATGAGCTTAAATGGACTCCAGAAGATGGTAGAGGACAGGGAGGTCTGGAAGAACATTGTCCATCGGGTTGTGATGAGTCGGGCACAACTTCGCAACTAACAACAACATATATATATATATATATATATATATATATATATATATATATATATATACACACACACACACACACACACACACACACACACACACACATATATATAATCTGAGGTTTTCGCGGATGTTTGTATGTAGATCTTTGGTTATTCGGGTTTTTTCCCCGCGTAAAATTGGAAGTATCTTGGCAACGTTTCGATGAAGTCCCATTCGTCATCTTCAGGCTGGTGTTTTCAGCTTCGTCCTTCGAGGAGCAATGTGTGGTCTTAGCTGTTTCTTCCTTTTAACTGCCAGGGTGTGAACTGATTGGGTGGGAGTTTGGCTGTGTTCTGATTGGGTGGAGGTGTGTTCTGATTGGTTAGGAGTTTGGCTGTGCTCTGATTGGATGGAGGATTGGCTGTGCTCTGATTGGATGGGGTGTTGGCTGTGCTCTGATTGGATGGGGGAGTGTTCTGTTTGTGTGGGGGCTTTGTTGTGCTCAGGTTAGTCTGAGTTGCAGGGGGATTTAAGATGGTGGGCTGCCTTGCTATTTTTTGACTTCGCGTTCGTGGTCGTGCCTCTTCTTCATGGTGGATGTCAGTTTGCTTCATGTATGGATTGGAGGGGTTTAAAGTGGCTAATGATGCAGCTGTGGTCTGGCTTCTGGTTTGTGGTCGTGCCTCATCATCAGTGTGGCTTTGGGTTTGCTTTTTGCGGTGGTGACATCCTGTGTTGTTTTAGTGAGTGTGGGTCTGGTGTCATTCTTTGTGTTAGGGAGTCGTTTGTCAATAAGGGCGGGTTTCCAAATGGCTGGTAGGCGGGAGGTATTATTTCGTTTGTTCATGCTGTGTGGGCGCTTTTCTATCTCAATGGCTTCTCTGATTATTCTGTTATTAAAATGTTCAGTTTTGGCGATAGTTCTGGTATTTTTAAAGTCAATTTTATGTCCTGTGGCTTTAAAGTGTTGGACCAGGGAAGATGTTGGTTCCTCTTTTTTGACTGAATTCTTATGTTCTTCAATGCGTGCACTTATTCTTCTGTTGGTTTGTCCGATGTATGTGGTGGGACAAGCGGTGCATGGGATTTCATATACTCCTTGATTTTCTAACTCAATTCTGTCTTTGGGGTTTCTTAGGATGGTGGCTATTTTTCTGTTTGTGCAGAATGCTGTTTTGATGTTGTGTTTATGGAGGATCTTGCTGATTCTGTCTGTGGTGCCTTTTATGTATGGGAGGAGGGCTTTGCCGTTTTCTTGTTCTCTGTCTTGGATTTTAGTGGGGGTATCTTTTTGGATTAGAGCCAAGACACTCATCTCCAGAACAAAACGCTTAGTTGACGAATAACACCTAAAAACCGAACTACACACTCTAATCAATGAACTAACATCCAATGGATTCCAAAGAAATAAGATTACAAACCTAATCCAAAAAGAAATCCCCACTAAAATCCAAGACAGAGAACAAGAAAACGGCAAAGCCCTCCTCCCATGCATAAAAGGCACAGCCAACCCCCCATCCAATCAGAGCACAGCCAAACCCCTAACCAATCAGAACACACCTCCACCCAATCAGAACACAGCCAAGCTCCCACCCAATCAGTTCACAGCCCCACTGGCAGTTAAAAGGAAGAAACAGCTAAGACCACACATTGCTCCTCGAAGCACGAAGCTGAAAACACCAGCCTGAAGATGACGAATGGGACTTCATCGAAACGTTGCCAAGACACTTCCAATTTTACGCGGGAGAAAACCTGAACAACCAAAGACCTACAGATATATATATATATGTATGTATGTATGTATGTATGTATGTATGTGTGTGTGTGTGTGTGTGTGTGTGTGTTTTCTGAGGTTTTCGTGGGTGTTTGTATGTAGGTCTTTGGTTGTTCGGGTTTTCTCCCGCGTAAAATTGGAAGTGTCTTGGCGACGTTTCGACGAAGTCCCATTCGTCATCTTCAGGCTGGTGCTTTCAGCTTCGTGCTTCGAGGAGCAATGTGTGGTCTTAGCTGTTTTTTTTTTTCCTCCTTAGTAATTAATGGTTTAATTACTAAGGAGGAAATCGCCTCAGCAATTCAACAATTGAAATTAGGGAAAGCACCGGGTACGGATGGGTTAACAGCTGTTTATTATAAAGCTTTAATGGAGGAGATGATTCAACCATTAAATGATCTTTTTAATGGTATCTTACAGGGTTTAGAGATTCCTCCTTCATGGCGTAGTGCTTTTATATCATTGATTCCAAAGGAGGATCAAGATCTTACTTTACCAAAAAACTATAGGCCTATATCTCTTTTAAACGTGGATTATAAGATATTTGTAAAAATTTTGGTAAATAGGCTTATGAGGGTGGTGCATCATCTTGTGCATAAAGATCAATCAGGGTTTATAACAGGAAGGTATATGAAAAACAATGTTAGACAAATTATTAACTTATTAGAATACTTAGATAAGAACAACCAAGTTCCTGCAGGGCTCATATTTTTAGATGCTGAAAAAGCATTTGACCAACTGAATTGGCATTTTATGCTAAGAGTAATGGAAGAAATGAATTTTGGTGAAAACATATTACAAGCCCTTAAGGTAATATATCAAAAACAAACAGCACAACTTATTGTTAATGGAGGTTTGTCGGAGGTTTTCACAATAGAGAAAGGTACTAGACAGGGGTGTCCTTTATCGCCATTGTTGTTTGTTTTAACATTGGAAATATTATTGATTAAAATTCGAGAGTCTCAGGAAATTAAAGGAATATATGTTAATAAAAAAGAATATAAGTTGAGAGCTTTTGCGGATGACTTGGTTGTTACTTTGTCGCAACCTGATTATTCTGTAGTAAACTTATTACAGTTGATTCACCATTATGGTTTGGTCTCGGGTTTTAAGATTAATGTAAATAAGACTAAAATTTTACCTAAAAATTTGTCGAGTCAGGAGAAGCAGATTTTGGTTAACTCGACGGGTTTTGAGATTGTTAATAAGGTAAAATATTTGGGGGTGATGCTGTCTGTTTCTAATGCAAAACTATTTAAAAATAATTATGAAAGGTTGTGGGTCGGGGTACAGAAAGACTTGAAGAATTGGGAAAAGCTGCAATTATCCCTCATGGGAAGAATTGCAGTGATAAAAATGAATATTCTACCCAAGTTTCTTTTTTTGTTTCAAATGTTACCAATTTTGAAAAATGAGATTAATTTAAATGAGTGGCAGAAGGGTCTCAATAAATTTATTTGGGCAGGGAAAAAACCAAGGGTTAAGTTCAAAATTATGCAAGACTTCCGTGAGAGGGGCGGACTCAAGGTACCAAATTTGAAATTATATTATGATGCGGTGGTTTTAACATTAATTAGTGACTGGGTAAATTTGACAAATTCTGAGATACTTTATCTAGAGGGATGGGATTTACTTTATGGGTGGCATGCCTATTTAATATTTAATAAAAAAATAGATTGGGCTTTTAAATCTCATATTTTAAGAATTTCTTTACTTAGGATTTGGAGAAAATATTATAAAAGTGATTTTAAAGTACCATTATGGGCTATACCTTGGCATGCGATAGAAGGAATAAAAAGAGGGGTTAAAATGGATATGGTGTCTTACAGACAGTTACTTAAATGGGATGGACAAAACTGGCAATTAAAATCACGGGAAGAATTAGCACAAGAAAATTTTACTTATTCTTGGTTCCAATATAGGCAACTACTAGATAGATGGAAGATGGATTGTAAGGTGGGTTTTCTTAGAGAAGATGAAAATCTTATTAAGCAACTGAGGGATCAAAGACAAACCCACATTAAGAGAATTTATGGGGTTTTAGTTGAATTGGACTCAGAAACGGAACTAATTAAAGATTGTATGATTAGATGGGCGCAGAACTTTGGTGAGCCAGTTTCATTGGACACCTGGGAAACTATTTGGGTGAGAAATGTCAAATTTACTCAAGCACAGAATCTAAGGGAGAATTTTTATAAAATGTTTTATAGATGGCACCTTGATCCACAAAAAATGTCTTACATGTACCCTGACGTGCAACCTAAATGTTGGAGATGTGGTTATAAGGAGGCTTCCTATTATCATATTTGGTGGTCATGTAGAGAGATAAAAGCATTTTGGATCAAAATATGGTGGAATATCCAGAGAATTTTTAGAAGGAGGGTAAAATTTACTCCGCAATTATTTTTGTTAGGTATTGTTACAGATTGTGATACAAAGGAGGTTGTATTGATGTTAAACTTGATCACAGCCGCGAGGCTGTTAATTGGACAATATTGGAAGAAGGAATCTTTGCCTACATTGCAGGAATGGTTTTTTAAAGTAGCTTATCTGGCAGAAATGGCAAAGATTTCGGCTTTCTTAAAGCAACAAACGCAAGAGAAGTTTTTTGCTATCTGGGACAAATGGATAAAATTTATACAATTTAGATTGGGTATACAAAAATATTATATAGCTTTTTCATAAGTTTTATTTTTATATATATTATAGATATCTTTTTTATATATATAAATATAAAGTTTTTAATTTAATTTTTATTTTTTTTTTTATTATTATTATTTCTTAAGCCTATATTCTGCTCTGGGAAGCTCAGGGGGGGGGAAGGGAGGGTTTTTGGGAGGGGTGTGGGGTGGGGGTTTTTTTTATATGTATTGTTTAATTTTTTTTTCTTTTGTATATGTTGTTTTTTGTTCTGTATTGTTCTTGTTTTTTTTTGTAAAATTTATAAAACTTTTAATAAAAAAAAAAAAAAAAAAAAAAAAAAAAAATAGAAAGAGAAAAAAAACTTACAGTGCGCTGTGTAAGCCACCTATTATGGCAATAATCTAGGGAACCCCCAAGATCTTCAGTTAGCTGGGCTATATCAATATAGTTATTTAATTCTGTTAGTGAGCTCAGCATTATGATCTATAAGACAGAAATCACAGCATCAAGTGAATAAAATCAACATTATTTTGGATTTTTGCTTTGGTAGTTTTGGCAAATTTGTAGTCATGAAACTAAACAATAATATTCAATGAAACGTGATTTATCAGATAAAGGAGAATTTCACTATGATAACAGCATATAAAGTATCTCCTTCAATCAAAGCTCAAAACCATTATGAATAATGTTGGTAACATTCGTAAACTTAATAACTAGGAAAGGTTTGATATTTGTAGGTCATGTAAAATAGCAGAAGTTCTTATTCTTATCTAGGGCTGGCAATGCTTTAGTTTGATTGAAAAGTGTTATTTTGGAGTGTTAACAAAAGTAAACATTTTTTGGAAGTCTTTAAAGTAGCCATTTCATTTCCTAGATTCATGTGGCAACTTCAGAGAACAGTGATAGAATCCTGGAAAAAGACAGGACTGTTTTAAAGAACAGCAAACAGATTCTATGTTTGTATTCCTAAGCAATCAGATGAGCCTTTCTGAATGATCTATGAAGCACTACACAGCCTTATAATCCAATGTAATAGCATTTAAACTGCTTGAAGAACAATTCTGAAAAACTCAGAGGCTTGTGCACAAATGGGTATTATTTTGACTAATCCTAGAACCTATTAGCCTAAAGCTTGTGTGTGAGTTTGGGTGACTTTTCTCCCATTAATTGCTTTTTACCAAATAATTATATCAAATAAATATTAGCTGAGCATGGTTTGAAAAAGTTTTGGAAGAAATTCTTTTGACCTCATGTAAAGACAGCACTCCTTTATTATTCAAAAAGCAACTTATGGCAGCATTAATACAGATAAACCTGTAGCTAATTTAAAGAGTCCTTTAATTAATATTGAAATTATTATCAAACAATTTTTAAAGCTTTTAAAAGCCGGAAAAGGCCAGTTCTTTAATGAAAAGCAGATAAATGCTTTACTCTTTCTCTCACAATGTCCAATGTAGTTTTTCCAAATCATTTTTTAAAAATGTAGTTATGTAAGAACATTTACAATAGACCTCATTTATGCATGTTTTTTTAAAAAGTGCTATCATGTGCTCAGCGAAATAAGCAATAAATATTACTTAATGAATAGTAATTAGTACTTTTTCTTATCTTCTAGGTAAATTTTTTAAAATTATCTAAAAATGATCTAATTTCAAATATGACCCTAAACACAAGGAAAATCAGTGCTTTTTTCAAATCCATCATTTTGTCTACAGAAAATTCTGTCCATTTATTAGTTATGAAAACAAATTGCCTATGCAAAAAAAAGTGTAAGATGTTATATTAAAGACATACTTTTTACTGTTCCAGTATACTTATCACACTACTCTGTGCACAAAAATAAATTACAAGTGAAAATAAAAGGATTAAACACTAACCGGCAGCTTTATTTTATAGTCATCTCTATGAAATTTAAAGGCAATGTCAAAGAGAGTTCTATGAAAGAATCCAGTTGGACGCAAAACCAGAACGAGTTGCAGATTTCCTGGAAATGATGTCTGCAAAATGATGAAACAGAATTATCATATTTAATGTATTACAATCTAAATTATTTCTTGTAATATTTTGATATATCAGATCAGATATAATAGATTCAACAAATCAGTTTACAAATTACATTACACTTACTTTGTATTAACCACAGTTTAAATTGGACCACATTTTGACCTTCAAAAGATATAGACAAACTAGGGTTTAATTTCTATGGAGTAATAGAAGTAATTATAGTCTGCCAATTCAGACGTTATACCAAGTTATCATTTATGGCTTCCAAGATCTATGTTCTGAACTAGGTTCTGTAAGTGATATCATTTTTAATTAAGCTATTGCACCAAATCTTAGATAAGCTTTCTTAAAAGCATAATTTGATGTACTGCCTAAACTGAGCCAGTATATTATCTAATTGATCATATATTTATACTGAACAAAAGAAACTTTGACTCTTTGAAATAACTTATCAAGAATAATAATGTGATTATTATGCATAATCTTTTTTTTCTATGAGTCATCTCTTACTAAAGAATGGGCATTTTATAGATAATAATATGTTGCTTGCCAAAGCTAAGCTATATATATAGTTCCATCCATCTCTGCCTTCAAAAGATTCTTACTTTGAGAAACAATCAAACATACTTTTTTCCACACATTTAGAAACACATAAACTTTCTCTGCTTAATAAAACAGGTTAATCTTACAGAATCATCTCTACAGTTGGATCCTTTGGTTGTAATCAGGAAACAGAAATGCTTTATTATATTTTAGATAAGGTGTGTGGCATTTGAGATATGTGTTCCTACATTGGTTTTCTATGAGGAATTGAAAACAGTAACAAAACCCGAATGGAAAAAATACAATAGAACAAAGTGATTTTATGACTCATTCTAGACCAGTGGTGGCGAACCTATGGCACGCGTGCCAGAGGCAGCACTCAGAGCTCTCTCTGTGGGCACCCGCGCCATGCCTCAGAGATGGCAACCGTCCTCTTCAACCAGCAGCCCGCTAACTCGCCGAGGTCCCAAATGGCCGGATGCATCCCAGTACCCATGTGCTTGTTGGCCTGTGTGTGCAGGGGCCGATGGTGCCAGGCCTCTGCCTCATCCTGCGACAATGGTACCCAGCCCTGTCTCGCCTTGCCTCGCCCTGCAGGACCAGCCACCTGCCCACCGCCCCACCACCCCACCTGGATCTCCCCCAACCCTGTCCAGCCCCCACAGGTGTCCCTCCCCAGGAGCAACTTCAGGTTGGCCATGCCCACCCGGCAGCTATGACCACTGTTGCCATGCCCACCCAGCAGACCACACCCACCCGGCGGCCACACCCACCCAGCACCCAGTGATACATAAGTGGGTTTTGGGTTAAAGTTTGGGCACTCAGTCTCTAAAAGGTTCGCCATCACTGTTCTAGACTCAAGAAGAAATTTCTCCATTAAATTGCAATTTTATTTAGGTTTCAATAAAATTTTATTTCATATTAGTTCAAGAAATCCAGACGTTTTGAGAAACAGTATATTTTCAATAGACATTATGTAGAAGTCATTACACTTTAAACTCTGAGAGCTACTTCTATAACAAATTTGGTAATGAGAAATAATTTCTGGAATATAGGTAAAAATGCATGCTATACTTCACTGACATGCCCTGGAACTTGTCACATTGTCTACAAGCTAATAATGAGCTGAAGTGTTCTGAAATGAATAAACCTGTCACCTGGAAGGATATTGTTTCCATTTTCTTCACAGCTAGCTTTTTCATGGTTGATCAAGCTACGCTTCCTCAAGTGGTTACCTCACCATAGTCAATCTGTTCTCCCCTAAAGCTTTAGATGGCAATGAACAATAGCTTACTTTTGACAGCTCAAAACCAGTTTTTAAAGTAGTTCCCAATCCTTGTGAGTCTAAAAAAAAAACACTAAAAGGCAAATAAATCACCAAGTTCACAAATGCCAGCTTAAAACTGGGTGTGGGCCCTGGAACACACCAGCTCTACAGAATCATCAGCACTGAAAAAGAATTAGAAAGTAAAAAAAATGGAGAAAATTCTCCTGCTATTCTGCTAGGAAGTACATTTCTGAAATGGCATGGAACTAAACATCTTTCAGACACAGCATTGTAGAGGACATAAAGGAAACACAGGCAGTGTCAGATCACAATGAATATTTAGCCACAGGAACTATTCAGAAACAAGTCTACCTGACTAGGTGGTATTGCTATAAAATTAGTTCCAACTTCCCTATCCTTGTTTTTTTCCCAAGAGTGTCTTGTGGTTGACATCAGTTTGTCCCCAGAATATTTTTTTTTTTAATTTTGGAAACTCAAAAGGGCCATAAAGCTGGAGAAGCTTGGAGAAAATACAGAAATTAAAAACATATATTTTAAAAAATCCAAAACTTTAGATGTGATACAAACTTTTTAACAAAATGATAATCCAAATACAGTAAGGTTTTCACTTTGGGAAAAATTCTGTATCAGAACAAGGCCAGAGGCAATAGATTTGGATTGTTTCCTTTTCTATATTTGTCTCATACTTTGAAGACAGTACTTATTATTGAACAATCCTTGATAATACAATCCCTTACTGTAAGCTGCCCAGAGTAGTTCAAAACATTTATGTTTAAAGTCTGCAGATCAGAAATGTGTGACAGGTTCACTTTTCCTCCCCCTTTTTCATACCACTTCCTTTCCTCCTTTTTCTGATTGAAATAATGATGTATGCTCTGTCAGATGAATCAGACAAACTATTGTCATACATCAAGAATTATTCAAAACCATGATTTAAATAACAATGGGTTGGTCTTTCATAGTTTGTACTAATCATAATGTCCTTACCCCAGGTAACTCAAATGGCTGTGAACATAGATTAGAATAGGGTAATCTGGTTGCAAAGAATGATATTGAGCATAACTTTATTCTGGTCACATGCTAATTCAGTGATGGCGAACCTTTTAGACACCGAGTGCCCAAAAACCATCCTGCCCGCTTCTGTTCCGCCCCCTGCCCACTCCTTCCCCGCTCCACCCACCCACCCGCAGGGCCATCTATCACCTCCATGGCCCGCCACAGATCGCCCAGATAGCCCTGCAGTGCCATGGCGGCCACGCTTTCAACCCGCGCCCCGCAGCATCATCTGCAAGCAATGGGGTGCGAGGGCAGAGTCTTCTCCCTGCTGCCCAGCTGCCATGTCCTTGGCGACTCTCCTCTGGGGGCGCTCTTGGTGAGGAGGGGGCCACGGGGGGAGGCGGGGCTGGGATGACAGCATGTGTGCCCACATAGAGGGCTCTGCCTGCCATCTCTGGCACACATGCCATAGGTTCACCACCACTACCCTTATTGCTACAGCATAAAATGAAATTAATAAGGGATATTGTCCATTGATTATAGTTAAAAATTGGAAAACACATATTCTGTATCCAAACAGGGATAAACAGTTATTAATTTGTGGTATAAAAACTGTTCATCTCTGCCAACCTCAAAGACGAAGCAAGCATGTCAACCCACAATCAATTAACTAATCTCCCAGGATAGCAACTATCTTGTTGGCTAAACTATAGCAAAGCTCATGTCAAGGAAACAGCTGATGGACCCAACTGGTCAACAGAAGAGAGAGAATCATGCCCTCAACTTTCTATCTATCCCCCTTTCCCCCCATTAAAGGGTCAATACTTATTGCAAGTTGGAAAATTGAGATGTGGAATATACTTGAACTAGGCCAAACATTGCTAGACTTGGAAATGTTAATGTTATCAACTTAAAAAAAATCCTTTGTGAGATTCTAATAAAAAATAACTTTATAACTAACTCCAGTGTTCTTGTGCTATAGAAATATTAAAAATCCTGATTTTGAAAATGGGCAGTATTTTCTGGACATTATTCCTTAAATCTTCAAATTTCTGAACCCTGCCCTTATTATTGCCTTTAAGTAAACAATTAATAGTTCTAGATTTAATATTTTTCTGTATGTAATTATGAGATATAATTTCCCTTAAATGGAAAACTTAACAACTCAAAAATTTTACTATATAAATGATGTGGCTGTTTAAAAGAGAAGATGCTTATCTCTAATCCACTGAAAGCGTAAAATTGAGGTGTTGCCCTGATAAAACAATCAGCGATTTTATTTTTGATTCTCATTTTCCAGAAATAACAAATCTAACCATGTACAAATGCATACTGATTTGCATATCTCATTTTAATATAATATTTTTCAGTACTAATGAGACCTCCCTCCAAACTAACCACAAACACAAATACAAAGAAAAAAAATAACACATGACTATCTATAGCACAATACTAGAAGACTGTTTTTACATTATAGAAGCATAAATGAAGTATCAGTTTTAGTGATAATTGAAGAATTGCTTATAAATTCTATCAATTTCTGTTTATATTCCTCATTATAAACAAAAGTATATACAAATTTTTATTAGTAAATACAGCAAGCATCTTAAAATGTTTTTAAGTTTCAGCTCTATTAAGTAGTTTACCATGGACAGATATTTGATTAAAAGCAAGTCTCTGCAATAAATAAAAACAGAATATCAGTAAAGGTTCAGTAATTTGTATATACTTTTACAATCAGCAAAACTAAATATTGATAAAATTGATATAAAAATATTAGATTCACTGAATTTCTAGATATAATGCTTCTACAAACTTCAAATTTTATTAAAGCCATTTTTATATTACTACAGATTATTTCTGCTTCTCAAATAAACAACATTTATTTTAGAAGCAGATAATTTTATAAATTTTCTACATTAAAAAAGTAGTATCCAGGTACTTTGGAAAACAAACATGTTACTCAATGCAATTCACACAGATTTGTCAAGGGGAAAAACGCATTAGCTGCACAGCAACTCACTGCAATTCGCATTATAGAGGCGTGCACCGATGTCCATTTGTCTTGCCTGCGGTCTATGACAAGGATAAATCCAATTCCAGCATCTTGTGAACTGAGTTGAAGAGGGAGGAGGAAGAGAAGGAGGAGGAAAGAGAAAACAAGTTATTCACCAGATCTTACAACAAAAATGCCCTATTATACCAGCTGATTAAACTATGTATGTTAATTAATTACAAAGATAGAATAATCCTTATTAAAACAGACTCAACAAACATTTCATGCAACTTCAGCTGCTCAAAACATTCATTATCCTTCTTCCTGAAGACCAGGGTTTTATTAATCTGATATGCTACTTTATACACAATTATCTCTTTTTTAACTCACTGTGTTTCCTTGTACAGTGACAATCCATCCTTTAAAAAATGATCAATAATGCCCACTCCAGAATAAAAACTATTTTTCCTTATGTGATTTTTGTTGCTAATATGTAATTTTATATGGAGAGTAATGTAACTTTCATATTATGAAATACAAGTTCCTAGGTTTTATATCCTGATTCTATCTAAGAAATCTGGCATTGCTAGCCCCAATCTTTAAAGGATCATGTGAACAAAACAGGAAACTGAGATAAGAAGGAAGATCCATGACAACCTACAGGTGAGAGGGAAGAGACAACAAGATCTTTCTTTTGCTCTGATCATCTGCATGTGCAGCAACTGGAGAGTTCAAAGATACCCACTCTTGTTTTCTACTTGACAATACAAACCCATCATGTAATGTCAAAAATTGATTGCCAACCAGTTGCAATATAATAGAAATGGCTGGCAAGCATAAACCAAATTGACTTGAATGTCTAATTATTGTGTATGCTGAGCAGATTGTGTTTGAAAAAAAAGTTGCAATGTTTTTTCTTTATTGGAAAAAGGAACAATGCTACTGAAACGGAATCTCAGTGACAAAGAAGAGACATACCACCACTTACTTGAGGGATAGGGAGTTTTTGCTCATAACCAAGTCCCTCATAAACAAATACAAAATTTCAAAATATAGGAAAATGAAAAATGTTTAAAGATTTAAAAAAATGTTTCCATTCATATCATGATTGTGACTCTCATGCTGTACCCAATCTGAACTCACTGAAATTGGCATCATGGATAGGAACACACTTTAAAATAAACATTTCTAGCTACAGGAATTGTGTCATTTTTAAAGATTGATATGGCTCTGCATGCAACTTTCTGAACAACTAGATCAGCGGTTCTCAACCTTTTTATACGGCGACCCCTGGTCACACCAACGTGGTGCGCATGCGCGCCGCCCCCGTGCGCGGTGTGCATGTGCGGTGCACTGCGTGCCGCTGCCCCATGTGCGCCCCATGCGCGCCGCCGCCCCCATGCGCGCCACCCATGCGTGCCCTATGGGCGCCGCCCATGCGTGGCGGCGCACCCTGACGGGGAAAATGGCGGATCGCATTGTTTGGCGACCCCCGTAAAATGGTCGTTCGACCCCAAATGGGGTCGCGACCCATAGGTTGAGAACCGCTGAACTAGATAGTTTAGCTCCAGATAAAACTAAGAGTATTGCTCAAACTATTATTCAAATACTTCAATACCAAACGTGACAAGTAAGACAATGGTACTTTCACCAATTGCGTGTCATTTATTGAACACTTTTTCCAGGCATTTGTTCTGGCAAAACCAGATCTCATCTCCTGAGCTCTGAATAAACACCTTATTTATCCAAATCTTTAAAACTGCTTAAATCTGCTTTTTTTCTTTTGCTTTTAGTTATTTATTTAAGTTAAGGTCAAATGAATAAAAAGTACTTCATGTGAGCAAATATGTAGAAGTATTTAAATGTGCTACATCTCTGCTCTCATCTTAGCAGTACAATCTTCTAACCTGTTTCTCCTTGGAACTTATTGAGGCTTATTCCCAGATAAGTGGTACCTAATGGCAGAGAAAGCAATTTGGAGATAGAAAAGGAAATCACTTATATACTACATTAGTTTGAGAAAAGGACAATTTGCATTATTTCTGATATGAAGGACTGGATTCAAACAATGTTTAAATTATCTGTTTTTGAAAAGGAAATTTTATCTAATCAAAAATGGCACAATATATTTTCTTCAGGAACAGATTTCATGACCTTTTATAATCATATCTTAGAGGTGTTTATGTATTGTTTAATATTTGAAAGTGTGATATGTGTAGAAAGTTCGTAATACCTTTTTGGTCAAGTTATTATTATTATTTTTTTGGGGAGTTTAGATTGTTTCTGTTGTCTTTTGCTGGTTTTGAAAATTTTGTTTCTTCTTTATTGTTCTGGTTAAAAATGTTAAAACAAACAAATCAAACTCCCACTTCCAGTTTCTTTCAAATAATAATATGCCCTCTTTTATATTAACAGTGTTCTATAATTGTCTTCCCTCCATTAAAAATTCCCTCTGCCATAGATGTCCTAGCCAAAAATGTCACAAGAGTGTGCATTCTATGAATCAATCATTTGGGAAGACTTCAGTAGGTTGTACAGATTGCTCAATTGTAGCTGAGAACCTTACCTGGGAATATTAGTGAGGTATGTCAAAACACTCTGAAACTCCTTTTCTGGAATTTCACTAAACGTAGAGAATTCAGGAAAAGTGATGACAGGACAGCCATCTTTTCCTCGCCCACCTACAAAGACAAAAGAATTTCATTCCCAAAATAAATCTTACCATGTTATTTAAAAGGACTAATATGAAACTAGATGAATTGATCTTTACTGATTGTTTGTAGTGACAACCTCATCCATGGGGATCAAGATCAAAATCAGTGTTGTAGATACAAAATGAAGACCAAGATACAAGTTATACAGTATAACTGATTTTTGGCAAAATTAGAGTAGTTTTGCCTCACTGCCCAAAAGGTTCACTTCAAAAGAGAAATGTTGCCTTTGCTTATGGATTTGATTTGTACAAGATACTTGACAAAATACTGTATAGTCTGAAAACACTGTATACCAATTCAGATCAGGCTATATATCTGTACTGAATCAAAGTGGAATATTATAAAGTAGGAGGACAATATGTGTCACTCCAATATCAGTATTTGCATATCTCTGGCTTGCTATATTTTTTACTCCTATTGGGATAGGAGAGAAATAGAAGATATAAAAAGCATTTTATCTTTAAAATGCACATCTTTGAGCTTTGTAAGGCAAAGACCTTTTTAATGGTTAAAACTTTACAAATCTTAGATTTTAATTGGTTTTAGCTTTCAGTATTTCATTTCAATACAGGCTTCTTTTGAAATTTATCATTTTTAGATTCTTTTTATTACTGAGATCGTGTTTAACTAGTTTTAGCAATGCAACAAGCTTTAGTTAATAAGTATAGTTGATACATATATTCCATAAAACAGCCACCATAACAAGTTAATAATAATAATAAAAAAGTTGGAAGGGAACTTGGAGGTCATCAAGTCCAACCCCCTCTCAGGCAGGTAACCCTATACCATTTTGGACCAGTTTCTTCTTAAAAACTTCCAGTGTTGGAGCATATACCACTTCTGGAGGCAGATTGTTCCACTGGTTAATTGTTCTCACTGTCAGGAAATTTCTCCTTAGTTCTAGATTGCTTCTCTCCTTGATTAGTTTCCATCGGTTGCTTCTTGTCCTGCCTTCAGGCGCTTTGGAAAATAGCTTGACTCCCTCTTCTTTGTGGCAGCCCCTGAGATATTGGAACACTGCTATTATGTCCCCCTCGTCCTTCTCTTCATTAAACTAGACATACCCAATTCCATCAACCTTTCTTTATAGGTTTTAACCTCCAGTCCCCTAATCATCTTTGTTGCTCTTCTCTGTGCTCTTTCTAGAGTCTCAACATCTTTTTTACACTGTGGTGACCAAAACTGGATGCAGTATTCCAGGTGTGGCCTTACCAAGGCATTGTAGAGTGATATTAATACCTATTGAGCAAGGTACCCCCTATACTATACCTATACATTTGGTTTTTCTTGCCTAAATGTAGAACCTTACTTTTTTCACTATTGAATTTCATTTTGTTAGATAGTGCCCAGTGTTCAAGTCTGTCCAGATCCTCCTGTATTCTAAGCCTGTCTTCTGGAGTATTGGCTATTCCTGCCAGCTTGGTGTTGTCTGCAAATTTGATGAGTTCCCCATCTATCCCCTTCTCCAAATCACTGATGAAGATGTTGAAGAGCCCTGGGCCCAGAACAGAGCTCTGGGGCACCCCACTACACACTTCCCTCCATGTAGATGTGGTTCCATTGAGGACCACACGCTGAGTACGGCTGGTCAGCCAGCTATGGATCCATCTGGTGGTGATGCTGTCTAATCCTCATTTTTCTATCTTAACAAGTAGTAGGTTGTGATCTACTTTGTCAAATGCCTTACTGAAGTCCAAGTAAATTATATCCACAGCATTCCTCTGGTCCACTAAGTTGTACCTTAACATCTTCCCTAGCTTTTCTTGATGCTTTTATCCTACTTCTATACTTTTGATTTTTCATGAAGGGGAGCACACAAAAGGAAGATTAAAAGCAGAAAAATGTCTTATGAAAGGGCTCTGAAGGACTGCTTAAGAAAGACCTGGAGCTCAAAGTTTAATCTGGTGGCAAAATACTCAGCTGTTAAAATCAAAAACAAAGAAATCAATAGAAAGAAAAGAACTATCAAGTGCACTACAGAAGAGCACAACAAAAGAAGTACTGACTGAAAACTAAAAAAGAATTTTAAAAGGAAAAGGAAGAAAAGAAAGAAAAATCTTCTGACGATAAGACCAGGTGTTAAATGGAATCCAAAGTAAGCATAGTTGGGCTTAAGAAAAGGCAAGTGGAGTTTCTTTCAACATTAAACTTTATAGGGACAAAGGAACAGCATTATCATCAAATTTGATAGTACCCTAGATAATAAATGGGATAAATATATCCATAATTAAAGGCATGCAGAGTAAACAAACAAGAAAAGGATGGAAAAAAGACATAGGATATTATGGCCCGAAGAACAGTGAAGGTGGGTTACAGCCCCACAGGACCCCAGCAAAACCAGGATGAGATGATTCAAGCATCCCATTCTTTTTGATCTCTCAGCAGCTTTCATGGTATCCTTCCGGACTGATTACAGAGTTTGGGAATGGGAGGAACAATATTGTACTAGTTCTGCTTTTTTCTTGACCAATGCCACTCAGTATTGACAGGAAGGAAGAGGTCCAGCCCAAACCTCTGGTTTGTGAGGTGCCTCAGATTTCAACGCTCTTCCCATTCCTGTTCAACTGGATGTCTCTGGGTAAAATAATCCATGGCTTAGGCATCATCAGTATGTTGATATGGTGTATGTCGACCTTCAAATAACTTTTTGATTCCTGATGATTGCCTGTACTAGTTGCTGCATTTTTCTTGGCAAGATTTTTCAGAAATTGTTTGTCTTTGGAAACTAGGACTGAGATAGACTGACTGGTTCAAGGTCATCAGCTTGGTTTCATGACTAAGGCAGGACTGGAACTTATGATCTCTTGGTTTCCATAAGGGAAAGAACAGCTTTAACCCTCATAAGACAAAGTGGCTATATATGCATTGTACTTCTGGTACCAAAGATTCTCCATCTAAATGAGGTGGTAATTTGAGGGTCCTTGTGGACTCAAAGCACTTTCCTGTTTTCTAGCCAGGATAGTTGAGAAATAAGAGTTAATTTCCTCATATTTAGGATGCCCCGGTTGGGAAGGATGGCATATAATAAAAGGACTCCAGAATGTCGCTTTGTGAGGATATAATCTTTAATTCCCACACCCACGCTAGCATCTAGGAGAATATTAATTTCTGTGAAAAGATCATTTTGGAAATTTCATTGATCAGATTTCAACCCACTATTTCAATCTTGACATTTTAATATATATTATCAAAGGAATTAAACAAATAGGATGATTACTAGGAAAAGAGATGAACTTACACATACTGATTAGTAGAAAGTCCAGCAGAATTTTTCTTACCTGAAAGATATGCAAACTTTTTTCTTAACTCGTCTTCAATATCTTCAGCACAGAGGGGAACAATATCCTGATGCATGATTTCATCTGAAACCAAACATACCCACAAAATCAAATTCCATGGAAAATGTTTGTTTCACATTTATATCTTTGTTTACAAAAAGCACTTTATAATTTCTACTCAATGTCAGTTTAAATCGTTTTACACAATCAAAGATATATATAGGACTAAAGATGGCAGTGTTAAAATCTAACTATCAACAGCATACAGTAATGCCACAGTATTGTAAGGAATCTAATGCTCAGGTATTAGGATCAGAAGCTGGCAATAGTGTTCTAAAATGAGATGTCATAAAATCATGGAACACATGTTGAAAGATGAGTTCCATAAGCAAAATGATTATTCTTACACAAAAGAGCCCCTCATCTTCCTTAAAGTACTTACAAAGCAAAACACTCAGTCATTAAATGTGTTTTTCTTTCCTCTCTCTATTAATTAAAACTGTTCCATTTTAAACTAACTAGAAGAGATAGCTGGAAAAGTTGCTCCAACTTATTGCTTCTAGGTCTAAAATTAATGGACAAAAATAAAAATAGCAAATCTGGAACAGACCTAGAAACAAAAAAAAAAACCTTAATTGCAATCATTTGTGTAGGAGTTTCTAAAAAAAAAATTGTTTGCCCCATCTTCCCTAGCCACTTTTAAAGTGATTAAATAACCCAGGAGAATTTATGGTGGCCAAATTCAATATATTCCATGTGATTACCTTTTGCGATCTTCTGACAAGCAAAGCCAATGGGGAAGCAAGATTGACTTAACAACCGTGCCATTACCTTAATAACTACAATGATTCACTTAACAACTGTGGCAAGAAAAGTCGTAAAATGGAGCAAAATTCATTCAACAAATGTTCACTTAACAACATAAATTATGGGTTAAATTGTGGTCGTAAGTCGAGGATTACCTATAACAGTTTGGTTCTACTCATCTGTCCCTGAGAATTTGGGACACATAATCAGTGGTTTATGATGCTATGATTTTCGTGCAGCATTCATTCATTCATTCATTCATTCATTCATTCATTCAGTTTCTATAGCCACCCAATTCAACCAAGTGACCTTACAATTCTAAAATTATGAAACAATTAAAACAATGTAAAAACTTTAAAGTAATAAAAACATCCACAACAACATTTACTATTATTTTGGTCCAAGCATTTCAGCAACATAGCTAAATCTTGCACTATTATTTTCTGTGTACATTGGTTTCTGGTAAAGGCAAGTAATGAGTTCTGGTTAGATAGAGAACAGATTTTTAAAATATTTTAAACATAGAGGATATTTTAAAAATGAAGATATTGTAGACGGCATTTACAATAAATCCTTGTGCAATTCAATTAGCAGTAGTATGCTATACTGCTTAAATATATCTGTAGAGCTTACTCTATTTCCATTACAGATCACCTATTATAAGTTAGCACCACATATAAAATTATTTTTAAAAAACTGAAAATTTCATCATATTGAAGTTTAATTCTCAGTTCTGACTAAGGATGTTGGAAATCACAGCTCAACAAATTTGAGAAGTCACATTGTACTCTGTTCATGAGCTACAGACACTGATTAAAACAGAGAAAGTACATTAAAACATTAAAACGCAGAAGTACTGTATCATGGGTTTGTGGCATGACAAATCTATGAATTTAAGAGGGAAAATAAAAATGACAGGGAAATCCAGTATTACAGTACATTTTTCTGATGTAAGCAATTTTTAAAATATAGTAGTGTTGAAACCACAAGATTTTCTGGCTTCAGTTTCTTTCACTGGGTATGGTACTTTACTCTTGCTTTGGACATATTGCATGGGGAATGAAAGTCATATTAAAGAGACAGTAAGACAAGTACAGTACAGTGACAAAAATCTCACACTTTTGAACAAATGTAACACCAATCCACAAGTTTTATTACCTCACATAAACTCATCAATTAAGTACTACTGAACTTATACATCCAAAATAGTAATAATAGGGCTATTTCTGTACAATTATATAGAGTAGTTTAATAATGTAAATATGAACTATAAGTATCTTATTGCAATTTCATTAAGCTACCTGCAGTATAGATGTACCATGGACAGCACCGCTTCCACAATACTTATAAGGATAATATTTTCATACAGGAAACTGAATGCTCAGGTTTTTAAAGATGGATATTTATACCTATAATGAAAAAATAAGCACAACTATTGCATATATCCATGATCATCTTCAGTAGCTTTCAAGATTGCCTATGCAGAAAAAGAGATGTTTTTCTTAACACATACAGGTGAAACTCGAAAAATTAGAATATCGTGCAAAAGTTCATTTATTTCAGTAATGCAACTTAAAAGGTGAAACTAATATATGAGATAGACTCATTACATGCAAAACAAGATAGTTCATGCTGTGATTTGTCATAATTGTGATGATTATGGCTTACAACTCATGAAAACCCCAAATCCACAATCTCAGAAAATTAGAATATTACATGCAATCAATAAAACAAGGATTGTACATAGAACAATATCGGACCTTTGAAAAGTATAAGCATGCATATGTACTCAGTACTTGGTTTGGGCCCCTTTTGCAGTAATTACTGCCTCAATGCGGCGTGGCATGGAAGCTATCAGCCTGTGGCACTGCTGAAGTGTTATGGAAGACCAGGATGCTTCAATAGCGGCCTTCAGCTCTTCTGCATTGTTTGGTCTCATGTCTCTCATCTTTCTCTTGGCAATGCCCCAAAGATTCTCTATGGAGTTCAGGTCAGGTGAGTTTGCTGGCCAGTCAAGAACAGTAATCCCACGGTCATTGAACCAGGTTTTGGTGCTTTTGGCAGTGTGGGCAGGTGCCAAGTCCTGCTGGAAAATGAAGTCAGCATCCCCATAAAGCTCGTCTGCAGAAGGAAGCATGAAGTGCTCCAAAATCTCCTGGTAGACGGCTGCATTGACCCTGGACTTAATGAAGCACAGTGGACCAACACCCAGCAGATGACATGGCTCCCCAAATCAACACAGACTGTGGAAACCTCACACTGGGCCCATGTCCAGGATCTGTCTGTGTGTGGTGGCTCTTGATGCACTGACTCCAGGCTCAGTCCACTCCTTGTGAAAGTCCCCAACACTTTTGAATGGCCTTTTCCTGACAATCCTCTCTAGGCTGCGGTCATCCCTGCTGCTTGTGCACCTTTTTCTTCCACACTTTTCCCTTCCACATAACTTTCTATTAATGTGCTTTGATACAGCACTATGGGAACATCCAACTTCATTTGCAATTACCTTTTGAGGCTTTCCCTCCTTATGGAGGGTGTCAATGATGGTTTTCTGCACAACTGTCAGGTCAGCAGTCTTTCCCATGATTGTGATTCCTACTGAACCTGATTGAAAGACCATTTAAAGGCTCAGGAACCCTTTGCAAGTGTTATGGCTTAATTAGCTGATTAGAGTGGAACACTCTGAGCCTAGAATTTTGAACCGTTTCACAATATTCTAATTTTCTGAGATTGTGGATTTGGGGTTTTCATGAGCTGTAAGCCATAATCATCTCACTTATGACACATCACGGCGTGAACTATCTTGCTTTGCATGTAATGAGTCTATCTCATATGTTAGTTTCACCTTTTAAGTTGCATTACTGAAATAAATGAAATTTTGCACGATATTCTAATTTTTCAAGTTTCACCTGTATAAGAGCACAAACACATGGAAACGGAGATGTCAATATTGGAGAAAACTCCAATTGTTAATTTTGGGGGGATTATCAAAAGTCCTAGGTTGATAAAATTTAACATGGTGACCAGGAAGAATGGTGAGATAATACAGAGAGCAGACACAGAGAACGATCTGACTACAGTGATCTTATTGTTTCTATAAGGGACTCAGCTATAAAAACTGTAGCTCAATCCTATATAAGGAATACAAGTAGTCCTCAACTTACAACAGTTCTTTTAGTGACCGTTCAAAGTTATAATGGCACTGAAAAAATGACTTATGACAGTTTTTCACATTTACAACCATTGCAGCATCCCCATGGTATCTGATTTATATTAGGATGCTTGACAACTGACGGCTGCAGTGTCCTAGGGCCATATGATTACCTTTTGCGACCTTCTGACAAACAAAGTCAATAGGGAATCCAGATTCACTTAACAAACATGTTACTAACTGTGGCAAGAAAGATCATAAAATGGGGCAAAATTCACGTAACAAATGTCTCATTTAGCAACATAAATTTTAAAAGCATATTATTACCTTGCATGGCTAAGACCAATTCCTACTGCTAGTAAAATTCTTTAGCACTACTACCAATCAATAGTTATTCTTTGTCCGTAATAAAGCACCAAGCAGGGGGCAGCAGGAACAAAAGACAGCAACAGGGATGCCGAAAATGAGGTTCTATGTAAAACATAACAGCAACACTAAAAGGAAAAACACTTTTTCCCATATATCCTTGTCAACTCTAGTTTGAGAAGCTGTCTGGCTACAGCTCATTGCTGCTGTCCAGTGGTGGGATTCAAATATGTGAACAACCGGTTCTCTGTATGGATGTCACTTCTGGAAGTCCATTCTAGGCCTGGGCAACAAAAAATTAGTTACCGGTTCTGCCGAAGTGGTGCGAACTGGCTGAATCCCACCACTGTTGCTGTCTAGATCTTGGTCTTGAAACCAAAGCTAGACAAGGTTCAAGCAAATTATTTGAATGCAAAAAGATTAGAGCTTTGTCACTTACACAATGTCACCCACATGTATGGATCTGATACTGCTACTTATTAAGCAGGGACATAAAGCTTTGTCCTAACATATTAACAGATGTTTGTCTCCTCCTTTTCTTTTTTTGTGTAACTGAAAGTAGAATTCCCAGAATACTGAGTGACCTATTAGGAAGTGAATTCTAATAACTCATAAACATATTGGAAAGATATTTTGTTGGGGAAGGCAGAAATTAGTAATAATATGGATGTTCTTAAAAGTATTTATTATTTTTTTAAGCTGTCCGGAATCTTTAAATTCTGTTATTAAATAAAGAAATGCAATAAATAAATAAATAAGAAAA